TGTTTCTTGTCCATATTTCCATATAAGAAATATCCACTGGAAGCAAACATTAGCCCTAGACATCATGGAAAATAAATACAAAATTATTTCAGCATTAGTGATCATACTGACAGTGTGAATGGTCTAAGATTTGTGCTTGTCTGCTCAGCAAACCTTTCCACAAACCATAAAATAAGACAAAATGATTTAAGTGCTTTATCAGGTATCATGAGTATGCTATAGCACCTTATGGGACAACACAAGGTTCTAAAAGGTTATGTTTTTAAAACACCTGCACGATAGGAACAGCCATTTGATCCTTTGTGGTACTCATCACATCAGTATTCAAAGGTGAGCTTCTTCACCCCTCCCTCCCTCCCTTCCTTCCTTCCTTCCTTCCTTCCTTCCTTCCTTCCTTCCTTCCTTCCTTCCTTCCATCCATCCATCCATCCATCTATCCCATCTTCAACAAACTTGAAATAAAACTGTCCTGACTACTAAACCTCAAACAAAATATGCTGTTCATTAATTAAGAGATTTTGGTTGATGGCTCGTAAGATGAGCAGACTGTCAAAGTTTCAACAATCATGACTGAGAGGTAAAGGGAAGTCACTTTTCCTTGGGTCGCTCTTGCCTCTTGGGTACATCTTACCTCTCTGTTCATCAGCTGACTCATTTTTAACAACAATAAGGAACAAGCAGAAGAGATCTGAGGTCAGGAGAGAACTTTGAGAAGTCTTTAATTAAAGATGGTGAACATTGGCCTCACAAATTGGCAGCCACAAAAAGTCAAAGTTAAATGCTTGTGCCTGTGCTCTAGTCCAGATCTCAGTATTGCTGTTTGGTTTATCTCCTGGAATTTTTTATAATCAGAAAACCCTTACATGCCCAGTAAACACTGATTGACATGTGTGTACAAGAGGCCGCCAAGGTTCCCTATTGCCATGCAGCCTGCTCTGAAGGCTTTCCTCAATTTCAGCAGGGTTTCCCCTTCTTTTATCTCGAAGTGTGTCATGAAAAAGAGATACAATGGCCAAAAGCCTCAGATTATGGTGTTTGAAGTCCTTATGAATTTCCAGTATCTGGCAAAATTCCCTTTCCTTAATATCACAGAGCTTAATTAGCCAAAGGGAAGCAGTTTCAAACTAAGTGGAAGTTCACCCAGTCCTATAGCTAGATGTGACAAAACCAGAAGAGCCACCCTGGAGCAGATCATGTTCAGACATGCCATAAATCACAAAATAAAGGACATATGAGCAAGTGCTTCTGCATTCATGTAGCTTCTCTGCCGTGGAGACAAATGAGTTGGATGGCAGGAGCAGAAAAAATATACCTAGTTTTATACTAGAACAGGGCTTTCTACCCTGGGCTCAAGTTCATTCCTGCACCTTTTTGTTGGCTGACTGACCTGTCTCCTACCCACCCTGAGGTCACTCCTGAATTTAGCCCATTGTGCCAGGGTGCCAGGGAGTGATGTAGAGGAAGTTGGGCGGCCTCCTCAGGGGCTCACATTTCAGGACCGCATGCCATTGGCCGTGCATGCAGAACATGCCGTTGTGCTTGGGAAAGGGAAAATTGCAAGTGCTCAAAAAAAAAAAATCACTCCTGGACCACCGCATCCTTTCCCGGGTCCCTTACCCTACACCCACTGATCAGCTAACTGAACAAGAAGTTGGAGATGGGGACACAGTAAGAAGAAGCCGACCTTCAAACAGCTTCTCAGCTCAAGGTGCTGCATATAAAAGATGGAGGGCTCTGTCTTAGAAGATCTGAACCAGGCAGCAGCAATACAAACAACGCTGCACACAGCTTCCCCGTGCCTTCAGCTTGGCCTGGAGATCTCTCCAAAGGCACTGTAGGCTTCAGGTCATTCATCTTCTTACTTTGTCCTGTTACCAGAAATGAAGGTTTGGTGATATGGGCCCTTCCCTCCAGGTCCAACACATTCCACAAAGGCAGGTGAGCTGTGCTCAGGTAACCAGGACGTGGCTTACACCACCTTGGCTCCAGAGCAAACCACTGACCTTGCACTTAATTCTTACTGCTTTGGGGAACCTGGTCCTTCAAATGAGTCCTTTTGGGTGTGAAAATAGAGTAAAACCACAAAGTAAAGACTAACTAGGAAGATAACCCGATCTTTCCCCTTTCATTAAAATCAGAAACAAAATCCATCTCATGTTATTGAATAGGAAGGGACAGAGCCAGGCTCCAGGTGAGGAGATGAGCCTAGGCTACATCTGTGAACTCCTTCAGTGTGCTTGTAGGGAGACACCTGAAGAATTGAACTTCATACTGTCGTCTTCATGGTTTTTTGCTGTGCAACCTGCTGAAACGTACACCACATAGTGCTTCCACGTCTGGCTGCCCTCCTTCATGCAGCAGCGAAGAAACTCCTCTTATATTTAGAAGCCCTGTTCTAGGGTTACATATCAAGATACATGCACGCTGCTGTTTTGCAGAAAGCAGCTGTCCTGTAAGAAGCGAAAGATGCTAATCTGATCCAGGAGCTGAGGCCAGCAATTCCGAGTCTCCATCTGTCTCTGCCTGTAATACATGCAGGAAGGAAGAGAGCTGGACTTTAGGAATGGTGTCTTCAGCATGTGGGCGGACTGCAGGAAAAAAAAAAACAAAAAAAAAGGAAAAACAAAAGAAAACCTGAGGGATGACTCTGTTGTCCTGCCCAGGACACAGATGTTGAGGTGGAAGATTTCTATTCTCTTTTCCTTTATCTGTTATTTTTGAAATAGTACCGTTTTGAGTATACACCTGATGGTTCATTCTTCTTCCATCAGCCTTGGTAGCTGCCATGCATGAAAAAAAAATGGGCCAAATCCAATCCATGCAGTCCTAGATGGATGATGATGAATGGCAGGTAATTTCCCATTTATGCCCATAAATGTTGATTTTTTTTTTTTGTATCTGTCCCAAAATATAAAGCAGGCACTTACTCCTCCATCAGACAACTTCATCCTGCCTCCACATCCACTGCAGATGGTCACTAGTGGTCTGGCCGATTGGAACAGTTGAGCGTCATTCATGTTACCCTGGCCTGATATTTCTCTCTGCCAGGGTCTATCATGGCACCCACCATGGAGTGGTTGGGTTGTCCAAGAAGCACACACATCTTCAGCTGAGTGGAGCTAAGAGTGACCTGTGTTTGACTGCACTTCTCAAACACGGCTGAAAAGCCATGCAAACACAAACAAATGAAGAGAACTGATACCAGTACGTGAATGTAGGAAAAATAAGATTACTTATGACAAAGAAGCACTCAGGATGATTAGAGGAATTACTGCATTTTCTCCTTTCTGTCACATTAAGTGGTTTAATATACAGCCTTTATTTTGATCCCATTCAATAGAACTGTAAGCTAGCAACATTTATCAGAAACAGTGAAGAAACAAGGGCTCAATTCTCATTCATATTAAGGGTGAGACTTCGAAGATATTTAAGTTAGATTTCCAGTATGGTTTTCAAAGGCATCTGAACAAGTCTAGCTCCTGTTCATCTAAATCCTTGTTAGGTACTTTCAAAAAATACTTCAAAAGTTGCCTATCCCTATCTTCCAACACCAACAACTTTGAAAATCCTCCTCTGTTGCCACATTAGCTACGGCAGCACTGACAAAATTCTGACAAATTCTGAAGGTATTAACTGCTTTTCCACTGGAAAACTCAAGTGTTATGCCCACACAGTCAATGGAAGCATGGGGAGAACCAAGAAGAATCCAAGCTAAGATATTAACTAGATATAGATTAACTACTAACTAGACACCGTCCATCTCCGTTGCTGCACTGGGATAAACAAGTAACCAGGAATGAATTCTGCTCCCACCAGCTGTGATGCAAACTGAAACAACTTCAGTTGACTCATCTAGGCTTTGAATACACAAATACACGGTAGTATGACAGAACAGAGTTTGGCTTTTAACAGGCAATTGTTATATTCATCTTTTACAAACTTATTTTATAATTAAATGATGCAGCTTCATAGACCACGGAAATAATTTGTAAGAATTTCTCTTCGCGGATGGTTTGTATAGTGTCATGTAAGCCAGCAATCCTTTATTTTTGCTTTGATCTACCTTACTCTGAAATCACCTGATGAATTTGGGGAAAAAAAAAAAAAAAAAAAAGGATATTATTCATTAAAATAGGAGAGGCAACAAAAAATAAGGAAAGACAGTTCCCATTACCAGAATGGACATGAATTAAAAGTAAGTTTATTCCACTTCTCAATGACAGTTCTATAATTTCTGACAATACAGCAAGCTACTAGAAGTCCCACAAGACATGTTAATCATTGAAATAGTATTCAAAAACTGAAGAAGAGTTCACAGAACAGCCAGCTCCTGGGATCATTAAAATCAGTGGCAAAATTCCCATGTGGACAAATTTTAGCACTGTAAATGCTGAAGAAATCAACTGATTTCAGTGGTATGACAGATTTTATACTGCAGTAATTAAGGATAGACTATGCATCACTGACTTTGATGAAAAACAGAATTTGGTGGAAAGAAAATTAAAAAAAAACACATTAGACGTAATCTCAAGACACAGAAAATACATGCCGCGTTTGGAAATATGCTTTGAGAAATACAGGTTTCTGAAATACTATTGTTATTTTTTCTTTGCTACTCTGCAGTTGTACTCCTGTTGAGCTTGATTCGTTTTTCACTTGCACCTGCAATTCTCCCTGAATTTCTGGATAGTCAGTCTGGATTATGCCAGTGCAAGGAGAGTAAGCATAAAGTGACATAACCTGCTTGGCGATGTAGTAAAAATGAAAGGAAAGGGAGCAACAACCATTGAAGATGTAGCTACCTGTGTTAATCTTCATTAAAGTTTACTCGTTTGTACATGGAATATTTAGGTGATGGAATACATATATTATTTCAAAAATTTTGAAGCTAATATGAACCAGCTGTCCAATCCTAATTTTTTGTAATATATCCAGAAATTACATTTATTTAAAGAAAATCAATTCTGTAATTTAAAGCTGTTGGCTGAGTTGGCTGACTCAAGGTCAGCAGGAGTCTGTGTAACATTAAATAGGGTAGAAGAATTTGCCCGTATCTAACAGCTCCACTGACATAGAGATCATAACAAGATGAGAGGGTGAATAAAACAAAAAGACACTGACAAAGCAGAATATAATGAAACTATGTGACTTGTTAGAGGAGTAATAATAAAGGGATGGAGAAGCACTTCTAATTAAAAACAAGATCCTTTGTCAGATCAAAAAACAGAAAAACGCAGATCTGAGGGTTTTAAAGAGAAAAATATGCTCAGTACAACTTTAATGCAGGTCTGAATCTAAGCCGAGAGAGTTCAACAGTGAAAGACAACAAAACGAAAAGATATCATTTAGAAAAAAATGCTATGGAACAAGAGGGTCTCAATAATCAAATGACTGAAATCAGTCAAAAAAGCAACATCAAAACCTGAAAAGCTGCAAGTGCCAAAGCGGCTGCTGACAGATTATGCAGCATTATAAAATCGGAGAGCAAGATAAAATCACAAACCTGTGGTTATGCCTATATGTTGAGGCTCTTTTAAAGGAATACACAAATCCCTAATGGAGTGACCAAAGCCCACTGGAGGGAACAGGAGTTCTGCTGCTGGCGGGCTGCGCATCAGATCCCATGCCGTGCACTATAAGCAATCTAGATAGTTTGGCTTTGGCTAGACTCGACCAGGGAACCTCATGGATCCAGCATACATTTCATATAAATTAGAAGGAAAAGGGAGGCATTAGGACAAGATTTCATTGTACAATAGCATAAAAGAGAAAATTCTGTTTTATACTGAGATTCCTTATAAATAAATCTTTTTGAATACCTGGTCATACCACCCCGATTAAATAACTGAATTATCAGTTGATCCACCAGCAACGTGCCTCTGCAAAGAGACTTGTAGGGTCAAATCTAATAGTCTGGAATGAAGAACTTTGTTTTCTTCTTCTTACTTTCCCTCTTGAGGTTTACATGGCGATATCCTTCAAGCGCAGTCCTCGTATTCAGATAGCATGCTGCAAGGACACAAAAATATGTCTGCTTTCAGGAGGAAAAGATAGATAGTTTGCCTGTGAGTTTAAATTATTCATTCTACAGATCTAATGGATATATTATTTAGGGGCACTTGATCTCTTAACAAACATCCCTCTGGATTAGTGGTTCAATACAGCTTTGAATCAAAGCCCTCAGGTTCTAATGGCACCAGTCATCTGTCAGTCTGAACTGAATCTTTAAATTGAGTTACCTGAATCGATACAAGTTAGGATTTTTCATTGCCAGGAAATGGGGTCTTACATGCCAGAGCTTCATGACAGTAACGGTAACTCTGATGCCTTGAAGTAAAACAGGGAAGAACAACACTTTTAGCAGTAGACAACTTGACAAATACAACAACTGGACCAGATTTTTTTATGTGATTTGCTAAAGAAATGAGGTGATTCTTGACTCTGAGCATGTGTGTCCTGTCCACTACTCAGCTCACAGGTCACATTTGCTAGAGAGCTTGTGGACTTCCAGCTACCATGTTTTGCAAATGCACTTAAACAAGGTAGGGGATCAGTGAACCAGTTTATGCTCTTCCTGACAGAAGCGCTGCAGTGTGAACTCCCTGGTTGCCTGAACACCAAAAATTCATGTGGTTAAAAGACAGTCAGGATGCCCCGACTTCAGACTTTGCACTGTCCTGGTTACCAGCAGACCAATCCTTGCAGCCAAAGGCAGGCAAGCTTCCTTAGCTCTTTCTTTCCTATAGAATGGTATGGAAAGGAGGATGTGTATCTGGAGGATGGCCAGGCAATTCCTGTGAATTTGAAGACCCTCACTTTATTGTATCTGTAGGACAGAGACAGTGAAATGATTGCAAATCATCTTGAGGGGAAGAGCATGGCAGAAAAAAAACAGGTAATAAGCTTAAAAATAAGCTTGTCTATCTTTCTCCCCTAGAGAATTTGTGCAAGTTAGTATAAAAAATGAATTCATATAAGTTGTTCCTGGCACACAGTTTAAATGCGTGTTCCTTTTGCTTCCAGTAGGGATTATCAGTGCTACATTACTGCAAATATGCTTGTTTTAAAACCCTCCTGCTAATCAAGCCCTATCAGCTGGTACTCTCTGCAGAGTCCAGCTGTCCCTATTCCTCTCCGGAGCCATGCAGACAGGTGGGAACAAAGCTGGAACCGCCTTGAAGTCCTGGCTCAAATGAGATTAAGGAAGAGGTCGGGAGTTCAGATGCCTCTGCAAAAGCATTAAACGGCATAATGATGGCACGATGAAATTGCAAAGGTGCTGAACACAACCATCCTTCTCCAGCATGCACTTACCAGTGGATTCGTCTCCCTGCCTATGGCTCTGGGGCTCAAGGTAAGCCAAGATGATGAACTTCTGATCTCAATGAAGAACACCTTGTGCCCTGTCCATGGCAGGAGCTGCGACTCCTTCTCTTCCACGCTACTCTTCCTCATAATCATCCTGTCTTTGCCTTGGCCTGGGCCGTGCAGCTTGTTTCTCTACTTCACTCTGACAAGTGAAGGTCACTTGTCAGGTTCTCCACATTTCTATCTGGCTCTCTCCCCCTTGCCTACACTGCAGAGAGCTGCACCAAAGATATAGGCTTAAGCTGATAGGCTTTTTGGCTCAGTCAGTAAGCAAATCTTATAGGAACCATTATTCTGCTCCTAACAGCACTGTCAGCTTCACCCAGACCCTAGAGACAATCTAGAGTTGTCTGCTATAAGAAGCTGCATATTGCTCTAGACTACTTAGAGGCTACACTGCAAACCCAGCAAGGGACCAGTGTGATTCCTACAGCAGCATGAAGTAGAATATGGCAACGGAATGTGGAGCTTGAGACCCTAGGTTCTCCTCTGTTTAACTAAGGAAGTCCCAGCTAGTGATCGTGCTTCCTGAATCCTGCTGGTGGGACTGAAATGACACCAAGCATCTCGTGCTATCAGAGCAGTCCAGAATCTGGAAACCGCTCTGAAAACTTGGAGACTGCTCTGAAAACACAGGTCTTGAATTACTGAAGCCTCACACAAAGACAAAAGTAACTTTCAATGATCAAAAGCCTCAGCAGGAGACGAGAAGCCTGACTCCAAATCCATGCATTCAGTGAAAGGCTTCTAACAAGACTTACAAAGCAGTGTAAGAGCGTCTGCACGGGGTCAGTGCAATCAGCTCTCCTTCAAGATCTTGCTTCTGCCAGTGACATGTTGCAGATGTCTGAAAAGGCTGACTAGAGAGTGGTATTTCTGCCTTTGCCACCATCCATCTCTGGCAATCTGCAGCTCAGAAACTTTCTGAGCCTGCAATTACATCTGTAGCTTTGCATTTAAGCTGTCTTTTGTGAAATTCTCTGGTTGTTTTTTCAAATCTTTTATATTTTTGGTATCCAAAGCAGCCTAGAGGTGTAAATCCCAGAGCTGCATTTTTATCGTGTATCTATTTTGTATTATGCAAGTTGCTCTGCACCCTGCTGCCTGTCTCTATTTTCCTCTGCCACATCTTGTTTGAGCCTGGGCACCAGGACTGCATTCAGGATGTGGTTCACAGCCAGCATTGCCCATCGTTAGATATCCTGCCATTAGCTTTCTAACCAGCCCATTAGGGCAGATTTCAATCTGCAATAACGTCTCCTTATGGAAGACAAATCAGGCACTTCCCTCACGGCAGGTCTTGATGGACAACATGCCTAGGAGCACATATGCAGGGCTGGACTCAGCTGGGATATAAATACTGGCTTAAGTTACATCTGAGCAAGCACTGTAGGTGTAATTCGGGGCAATGGGCTGCCAAGAGGAGTGCAGGACACGCTGACAGGAGAGGGAAAAAGCAGCAGAATGGAGCAGGGAAAGCAAGGCCTCGGGCACGATGGGGATAGCTGTGATTCAGCACACACCTCAGCTAAACCCTGTGCTCCTCAACATAGGGAACCAAAGATTGTCCTGATCCAGACAGGTGAGTTTTGTCGCTGGGCTGTTAACTCCAGCGATGCAAATGACAGTTTTGCCTTATCTACTTTTGGGGCCATCACTGCAGAAAGTAGATGATTCTCAAGTGCTGAGTGGCCCCTACTCCTGGGTAAATATATACGTATATACCCTAATGTTCTCCAAAGATAACATGCTGGTCTTATAGATGAACAATGCTTTCCAACACAGCAGGACAAGCCCAGAGGTGGCTCAGCACCAGATCTTAAATGAAACATCAAGGCTGCTTTTCTGGTGCAGATGTAGGTACCACCACTGTTTTTCCTGTACTACTGTTGCTCTGCAGCTGAATAGACAAACTGAGGTGTGCAAGGAAGCTTGGAGGGGAAGGGAGCTTTCTGAAAGTGAGAGGCTCCTTCTCGTCTTCAGTCCATCACTCCTTGCTGATCTATTTTCTGCTAGGTGAAGAACAGCCTTTCAGCTGTCCCTATGGTCTGCGGATTGTTATCAGACACGCGCCCATGATCTCATCCACCAGATCCTGGGCACGGAGAGCTCAATTCAAGACATTGCGGGCAGCCTAACCCAGGTCACTCTCCTTATCAGGCTTCATGTGTCACAGACAATAAGCAGCTAGGGTGGAAATGAGTTACGGGCACCAGACATTACTGTGTCATGTTCCTTCCTGCTCACTCCACAGTTCATGAGCATCTGGGTAGTCCAGGGGAGCTGCAAAAATATCAAGTCTAATCCCATTTTCCTAGCAGGGTATACAATAATTATTGGGGGTATGATCACTGCCATTCACAGCAGGAATTTCTTTGGACTTCCTCATGCTTTAGTTTTACCATTTCTGCCTTCAACAGCCCTAACTAGTGAGTTTTCTTCTAAAACCATGGGAGGCCCTCTTAGCTCTGCTAAAAAGACAGGACTTTTAGTCATTTTCATAAGCAGGACAGAACACATAGTGGATTTGGGTACTGAAGAGTGAGAAGATGTGACAACGAATGGAGAACCTCACCTGAAATTTTTAATGGGACAAATGGCATTTGGAATCCTAGTTGTACTGAAATTCTGTGGACTAGGCACTGATCTCAAACTGATCTTCTAGAAATGTCATTCATAAAGAGGCCAGTTGGGAGCTACTGTTCACCCGCTTTCATGTGAGGAGAGTAAACACTGTTGTTCCCACAACACATGGGAATAAAGGGGAAAAAAAGAAAATAAAAGCAACACAAAGGGCTCTTTTGGAGGGTGACAAGTGCGAGTGGGAAGTAGCGAAGAGCCTGGGAAGCTAGAGAAGGGTGAATCCATAGAGGGATGCTCACAAATACTAGCTAGATGTAAAGAGCAATCTAATTACCTCTAATTTCTAGCAGCGGGCACACAGGAGCATTCACACATTCGACAAGCAAGGCCTTGCTATAGTGCAGCTGAAATGCTGATTGAACCTACATGTCACTAACAGTGCCCCAGGTAATGGTGACGCTTTTGGCCACCAGTGGTTTCAGCCATTCCTCATGCTGTCCTTCTCTCCTTCTGCTTAGAAAATAAGAACTGACTTGCCACCCTTGTCTGAGAAGTGATGAGGAAGGTGGCACGAGTGAACAGGGGAATTTACTGCCGCTGTCAGCTACAAACCTTGGCACATCCAGCCTCAAGTGACTTGCTTTACATCTTAGAGGGCTGCACAGGCTGAATCAAAATGTGATCCAGGCTTGCAAAGGGTTTGGGAAACTAGTGAAGGGTACAGTCAACTTCTGCCTTGATAGCACCATCCTGGAGCATCCTAGAGAGGTGAACCCCAGTTCCATTAACTTCTCTGCAGTTCAATGTGTGGTTCAAACTTCAAGATCTGTCTGAAAATATTGCCCGTGCCTCATCAGCTACCCTCTTGCACTCCCCAGAGATGTTTGCATTTCTGTGGTGGATGAGGTTATCTCTATTTATAGTGTATGTATAAGTTGTTTGGGCAGCCTTTGGAAGGCTCAGGGAAGACAGCGCTCCAATCAAAATAGCTAACAATAAATGGGTTTAGCTGAATTATTTTAGTGGGAAATGCACACTACTGATGAGAGAAGAACTTACTGTTGCATAACCCTAAGCAAGGTATTAATGTCCCAAATATTTTTCTCCACTTTTCCTAACAGACTTGTAATCTACTTGTGCAACCACTTTATATACAGACACTCATTTCTCCTTATAGCTTTCATCCACAGCAAGCCAAGTCTAAATTACATTTGTAGTCAGCTTTGATACAGTCATTATTACCTTAATAACAAAGAGTAAAATAGTAATTGCCTGTCTTCTCCTGCTTGGAAAGGTTTTTTTTTTGTTTGTTTGTTTGTTGCTTTTTTATTTTGGAAAGAGCCATTGGAGATATGTTTGTAGTGAAAATTTGCACTTCTACACACTACCACATGAAATCTAGCGATCTCTGCACCCTTGGTCTTGCAGATGGAAAAACTGAACGACTATGAAAACGGGCAGCTTGCCTGAAGCAAACATCTAAGAAAACTGCAAGAGCTTCTGGAACTACTGCTAATATTCAGGTCTTTGCTTTTAGCCATGGGAAATACCATTTCCTTAATTATAAACTACGAAATAAAAAATTATCTTTTGGAAAACATGACTGTGTCCTTAAATTGCAGCTGGAAGGTTAGGCCAGTCTTTAGTTTCTGAAGCCCTCATGCAAGGAAGACCTTCTTGCATCGGAGCCGTCTGCACGTGCTTACCGTTGTGAAGTGAACTACGCAGTAGATGCCAATGATGACAAGGCCAATGATGATTGAGGCGACAGCGACCCAGAGCGCGTTGCGACCCAATCTTTTTGACCCTTCTATATCTCCTTGATTATAACTGTTCAAAGCCTGTAGAAGAGAAAGAGCATAGTGAACAAAAAGCAACACACAAAGCAAGGCAGCTGACTTCATTAATATTGAGTTTATGCGGGTAAACTCTAGAAAGGACTTCAGAAAACGGGTATTTGTTTCGTAGAAACACATTTGCACTGTAGTTCAAGGTAACTCGGGAGTCCTCCTGTTTCACGCATTTTCAGCACTGTTCCTTCCAGCTACAGGTCTTCATCTTCAGTGGCGAGGAGGAGGTGGTGAGGTGGGAGCAGCCGCAAGGAACTCGTTTGAGGTGCTGGCTTGTGCACACCGGCATGAGGGCTGTCAAACCAGCCCCAAGCCACCCACTTGCCTAAGTCAGCAACTTGTAGCTATTCTTTCCCGAGAATGAGACGCTATCAAAGAACTTAAAAAAGCAGAGCAAAGGCCATAATTATTTTGAAAGATCTGCAGTATTTGAATTCATAAACCAATGAGTTTGTGATTGAGTCCAGATTTCTTTATCAGCCTGCACTATTGAGTTATTCCAGGATGTTTCCTGGGTGAATCGGGCTGTTCATGTCTTTAGCATGCTCTTTAGCATGTCTTTAGGAAATGCTCTTTAGCATTTCCTAAGTATTCCAGGCCTGTCCAGAAACAGGGCAAGAGGAAAACCTGATCAAACACACCATGGACTAAATAATACAGGTCGTCTTTAAGAAATGACTGCATGAGGTATCACCATGTGCTATTACTACAGTGAATGAGTCTTTTTTTTTTATATAGGAAAGGCAAAACAACAGTTAATTCAAGAAAGTGAATATCTGGGACCGTGGGAAGCAGGAAGGGAATGGAGGGAGGGGAATGCAATAACTGCAAGTCCCATCCGGGTCACTTTTTTTCCACCAAAAGCCAAATTCTGCCCCTTCTATGCTGATAAAAGTGCTTACATTTTCACATGTGCTTTAAAGATAGAAAAGCTTTTAAACTTACTCTTAGGTTATTCGGAGAAATGGTTTTAAAGCAGTTAGAAAACATAAAAAAAAAAAAAAAAAAAAAAAAAGAAGAGCCATTCTGCAGAGAGGAAATTACTCCAACACTTTGCCATCACTCATTTCCGTAACTGCTTGGCCAAGAACATTCAGGCTTATTTGGAAGATGATGGTGAGAACAAAAGTAAAGGTATTCAAAGCTTTGATACCCCAGAAAATCGGATACTTTGAAGTAGAAGGCATCTCACAGGGGTCTTCAAGGCGATGTCACCAGTGAAAATCACAGCATGACAACTGCGAGGTGCCTGGCTTGGTTACCGAACACCTCAGACACCAAGCAGAGCAGTGCAGCACAGTGCTAACTCCTGGTGCTGGATGGCAACGCAACCATCAGAAACACTAGTGCTGTGTCCAGTGAAATGAGGTCCTAGGTCACCACTAGAGGAGCAGGAAAGTGCACAGTCTGATCTGAAGCCGAGTGGAAGATTTGGCAGGAGATTCATTGGCTTCCATGGGATTTGCTCAGGCCAGGAGCACCAGCACCACAGTAAGGTATCAAGCATTCCCAAGGTTTCCCTCTGATGACATAGGGAATGACATTTAGGTTACATGGCAGCTACCAAGTATTTTCAAAAATCAGTGCTGCTTTCAAATTTAGTCTTACTGCTGAATTTCGTATACTCCTAATGCTAATAACTTCCAACATCATTTTAATTCTGGATCTAACAATTGCCCTCTCTGCCCAAAAGGGCTTTGCCATGGATGTACTGCATGACAAGCCTTCAAAACAGAAGTATCCCGCTGGATAGCTCTGCTCTTCTTGCCATGCAAAGCCCTGTAGCTGCTAAAGCACATTCAGACCTCCCAGGATACCAACCATCGCTATAGAACCCTTTTTTATTTTCCTCAAGCGGAAAAATAATTAGGGACATTATCCATGTTCTGCCAATTAGTGAATATACAGAAATTAATGGGCTAGATGAGTCCTTGATGGTAGCACTACGGCAAGATCCCTTGTGCCAAGGCAGTCCCAAAGCAATGAAGCCCACATTCCCACAACTGCATCTCGAGGCTCCCTGCTCTCTGGGGTCTAAGGAGGACCGAGCTGCAGATGCATCGGGGCCGTTAAAGACAGCGCTGATACATTTCTTCTCTTCCTGGCAGCCTGCTTTCCTAGACACGTTTCCCTGGAGGATAGCTCAAATACCTCTGCTTTGCTGTCAAAATTGCTTGAGGTTGGCCAAGAGGCTTAAAAGACATAATGGGGAAAGAGGGGAGAGACGGAAATGGGAGCCAGAGACACGAGCACGGATGGGATGACTGCCTGAGCCTTGTTTCCACAGGGTATCCGGCTAAAATCTGATCACTCGGGCAGAAAGGCAGTCAGCCTCCCTGACTCTGCACTGATGGGAATTCTTCCCACAGGAGTGGCCAGCAGAGCTCCTTTCCTGGAAGGTACTTTGCTCTTTTTTCCCCCACCGGTCCTGTCCTGCAAAAGAAAAGGTTCCTTGCGTTTTCCCTAAACATATCCAGGAAAGTCAGTAAAAAGGAGTATCAGGAAAAACAGGACTTGGTTTGGTCTTGGGTGGCCTGACTTCTCCTCTGCCCCTGTCAGCGACCACAAATGCTTTGCCTATAGGGAGGAAAATGGAAAAGCATCACCGACCCCCACATCTTTGCTCCTCTTGCTCATCAGGGAGCTTCCCATGACCTGGAGAGTGTGACCCTGCCGAGACTTTACGGGCAGAGCCCCACTCGTGCAGTCCAAGCCGTTGTTCGCAAGACGTGGACAGCGGCACCAGCTTGCAGTTCTGTAGCCTTTTGCTAATGTATTTAGGGAGCCTGGAGGAAGTCCATGCAATTCCTGCAGATACTGCATAAATAATTCACACTGTACACTTTAATAAATAATGTCATTTTAATAAAAATCCACAACGAGGAGGATGGAATTAGCATAAAGGATAAAGAAAAGGATCTGGGACAGACAGCAAGGAGACAGAAGCTTCTTTATTAAGAGACTTATATTAAATAGTTCAATTTAGACAGTATTCAAGAAAAAAAAGATTTGGGGGAACTGGCTGGGGTCTGATGTAAACTTCTTTTAAATTAATATACTTCCACATACTTCACCAGGGGCTTGGGTCAAGACTTCTAAAGCCTTAAATGTTACCTCTGTGTTTATTTCCAAGGCCTAGCCAGTAAATCCGGGAAAGAGCTTCTGCAAATAACATTTAGACTACCTAACTTTTACAAAAAGTTTCAGTCATTTCCAGCCTAATACCATATGGTGATTTTTCAGACTTCTGCTGACTTTGTAACCTAAAGCCACACTTCTGCAGCTGCCAGTTTACCTGAGCAGCCACAGTCTTGCATATATCTATTAATAAAAAAAAAAAAAAAAAAAAAAAAAAAAAAACCCTCAAAGAGAAATTTGCTGAACTAGCTACAAACTGTAAATTCCTTTTAATGTACATTTTCTGATCCACATTCCTGCAACATCAAAGATCAAAAGCAAAAAGAATATCCAATTGTTGCAGAAATCCTGTTCTACATCCATTAAAAATGTGGGCAAATGTGTTTGAGACCAGCTGCTATTGGATATCACTGCAGTAGGTACAGGTTGTCCCATATGGGGCTAGATGAGACAGTACCTACAACCTATATCAAGAAAGAATTAGGGAAAAATAGCTTTAAGGGAATGTTTTGAAGTTGTTGCAAATCTACACAGCTTTAGCAATGCCACATGAATTTGGAAAAGCAACTTTCCCCACAGATCTTGGAAATACTGAAGCAGCTAAAGGTGCTGTTTTGAGAGAGGCCAACAAGGTGCATTAAATCACCACACCTAAGTTCTGGTAATCAAAAATAGCTACTTGATTCATCCTTTAGGGTTGTCCCACAGCCTCCCCCAGCTCCCTGATTCCATAAACCAGGTACTGCTCGCCTGCAGATGCAGCAGCGAGGGGGTTCACAACAGGGCCAAGAGGCACCATGCAGATAAGGAGCCAAAGAGCTCAGCATCACGCAGCCTGGCCACGGCCAGCAGCAGAAGAGCCTCTGCTACCACGTGTTCATCCTCACTTGGTACCTCTGCGGTTCGGAAGGTATGGGCAATATCTGAGCACCTTTAGGGCAGAGCAGTTGTAAATCAATCCGATACAGCTGCCAGAAGCAACAGGAAGCAGGAGAACCTCCAGCATCTGGCTGGATCCGCACTGTGCCGCAGCAAATGCTAATCCTGCAGCGTGGAGCCCTGGCCAGGAGCCTGGGGCGAGCACATTGCCACCAGCTGAAGCTGCAGGGTGAGCTGAGCACCCGAGTGACCAGGGTAAGGTTGGAGGGGCAGCTGCTCTAACATCCATGTATCAGCTCCCTGAGGCCGTTATCCTTTGCTGGCCATCCTTACTCCTCCGTAGTGATAAATGGCTTGTTTTCACGGTGGAGGTAAGGAGCCAGAAAATCCTACCACCGCAACTGGAGGACTTGGGAGAGCACTATTCTGAAAATCAAGTCAAGGAGGTAAGATCTGGAATGGTAGGATTTGTGTCCCCAAAGGTGAGAAAGACGTGGAGAGACAAGTGTAACTGGGACAGCAGAAGAGACAACACAGACTGAAGACAAATCTGTCATTTAATTCGGGGGTGTGTTAGAGCCTACTTTTAGTGTGAACATGATTTTCATTGTCAGAACTGAGAGCACCGAAGGAGGATGCGACATAGGCAAAGGAAGGGTTGAACGAGGCCCGCTTTGAGGCTGGCAGGACCTTCCTCCCAGGCCCTTTCTAGGCACTGGAAAGTTATGGGCAGCTCCAATTCTATGGGTCTGTCTCTCTTCTCACACAAGATCTCAGCAACACCTGGAGGCTACACAGGGATCTTCAGGAAGAAAATAGAATAACCCACTCCTGTATCTCAGTGTTAACCCAGGAAACAGCTGGGAGAGAGGGAAGATGTAGATCCCAGCAGAAGAAGAGCTAAAGCAGCACAGGTTGTGAGGCAGAACCTTGTGCTGAGACGTGAGGCAGTTACAACCTGCAGCCCTAAGAGGCAGGGGGACAGGGCTGTGGTACAGAGCCTGGACACAGTATTTTTATGGAATAGGAAGGCTAAGAATGATACTGAAATAAGTGGCATTCACACATGCTGGAAGCTATTGGTTTGGGTTTTGTTTTCTGCCTTCAGTGGGCAGCTGAGACCTGCACAGACCGCTCAGCATCCAGGAAGGGTTCTTCCCACCGGCACAGCCCACGGGCACAGCTACTTATGCCTGACTCCTAAAGCCTGCATGAACTTTGGCTAGGGTGTGGGCAGCTCTTTCTCCATATGGGCTGCAAAAAGCTTTAGAGGCCAAATTCTGTCCTTGGCAGAAGGCTGCTGTGCAGCCCCAGTGCTTAGGAGAAAGTGCTTACGGCCCCGGGCCACCAGCTCGCATTACTTTAGACAGTGCCCCACCAGAACCAACTCTTCTTCACTTAAGAAAGAAAGCATATGGCGAAAGCAACGTACATAGGGAGATGATCTAGTATACCCATTAACAAAGAAAAGCCACCTACTTTTCTTTTTTTTTTGAAGAAAACAATAAAGATGGCTTTCTGATTAATGTTAATTTAATTTAAAAGACTGTGCTTTAGTGTATTTGTCATAGAGACAACCATCGGACTGCCTAATTGTGGAAAGAAACAGCTATATTTTTTACTTACCTTTTCAGTTTGGCTCTTAGAGAAAAGGATGAAAACACACAACAAGTTTTACACCCTTTTCAGTTCCTAAACAACAGAAATACATTGTGGAATTACCAACTATACTGCTCAGGTGTCCTACAGAGCAGCCTAGATCTGAGTCTGCAACTCTTAATTTACAGAAGACAATTCTGTTCTAAGAATCCTTACACAGTTGATAGATCTGCTGCTTTGTTAGGGATTATTCAAGTGCGTTAGGACTTGTAGGAGCAGGTTTGTTCCCTCAGTGTGCTCAGTGCTTAATTTTACATATTTTTTGCCAATGAGCTAGAATTATTATCATTTTATACATTATTCTAAGAAAACTAGTACCAGGCAGAACAGCCTGCTTACCGCTGAAGATGCCACTTCCACTGTGACTGATAGTCCGCAGCAGAGATGACATCCCTCGCAAACCAGATTCGTGCTCCCCAGCTGCCGCTCGCACACCGAAGCATGCTGCACGTTAGTGCAGCTCCCCAAACCCCATGAACTGCAGCAATAAAGCGCAGTATTGGAGTAATAAGCCTCCCTCCTGGCCCCGCCGGAGCGGGCGGTGCAGACGCGGGGCGAAGCCCTTGCCCCGCAGGTTGGGCGCTGCCCGTGGCCGGGGCCGCCGATGCTCCCGCCCCGCTCGCGCCCCGCGCCCGGGGGTCGCCCCGCGCCCGCTGCCCGGCTCACCATGACGGCGAAGACGAAGGAGACGATGTTGACGGGATAGGCGGGGCAGAAGCAGGCGAGGATGCTGAGGAGCAGGTAGTTGTTGGGGCGCGGGTGCGGCGGCCCGTCGGGCAGCTCATCCTCGACGTTGGTCTCGGGGCTGCTCTCCAGAGCCCTCTTGACGTCGGCGCCGGACATGGGGCTGCGGCGGCGGGGCAAGGGCAGCTCCGCGCAGCGGCCGCCGAACGGGCCGCGGCCCCGAGCCAAGGGAGCCGCCCGGAGCCGCGGGCGCCTCCCCGGCAGCGGGGGCGGGGGGCGGCTGCCCGGGGGGGCGGGGGAGACACGGTCCCGGTGCCGGTTCTGCCCCCGGGAGCCTCCCCCGGGCTCAGCTCGCTGGGGCGCAGGGGCTCGCTCTGCTCGCGGGCTGCGGTGCCCGCTGCGAGGGGGGCACGGGCGGCCGGCGCGGCGCCTGCCAAGGCATTGCCTCCCGTCTGGCTCGAATTTCGCAGCTCCTAAGCACCCTTCCCGGCGCTCTGGACTTCGCCAAAACACTAAAGATGGGCTGGGAAAAGGCAGCCTGAAGGATTGGGGTAGCTCAGGCCCGGGAGATTTTGTCCGATTTGAGCCTATTCGAGCTGGAAAGAAACCTGCAAGGAGTAAGCGTGAAGGGGAGCAAGCAGAGGAAAGTCTCACTTCCAAAACGTACAGTTACAAAAACATAAGTAAACACAGCTCGGCTTCAGCCGCTCCTGGAGCTGTCACGGTTCTGAAGCTGGGGGGACGCGAGGCCGCAGGCTGTGCAGAGGGAACCGTCCCGCTCGCCGCTGCGCTCGGGAGCTCTGCGTGCAGAACTTGCCGCAGGACAAGGAAAGAGAGTTGGGGGCAAACGGCAGCCGGAGCTGCACGGGTTGTGCCCGGGCTGCTTCCTCAGGGAACATGCCAGCAAGGGAAGGCACTCGGAGCAGCGCACTGCGCCTGCAGCGCTGGGATGAGCCCCCTTTGTCACTGCGAGTTTGGCACCTGGATTGAATGGAGCCAGGGTTCCTTTGCTCCGGCTGTGATCCTTCAACAAAATGAACGGCCATCATCCCAGTAAAGGCATGAGGAACAGAGGTGCAGTAGTTTTTGCTTTTGTAGACGTTGATCATCTCTCAGGCTGCATTCCTGGCATACGCTGTGCAGTAAGAATCTAGTGCTCTGTCCAAACATCAACAGAAATACTCCATGTCTTTAGGAAATAATAAGAAATACCAAAGTTCATTTGCTTGCCAATTTACCCATTAGTGTTCAGGCACTGGCTTTTTGTAGCTGCAAAATCACTGATACGTTCTCAGGGGACTCGAAACATAAAGTCACCAGCCAGTCTCTAAAAACGGAGTTTATATCACAGTGCACAGTGCACTTTTAAAATGGGTTTCAGTAGGGATGGAGACCGGGTACTTTCCCTCTGCTGGAAATCAGCATCTTCCAGGACCACTCCAAGCTTTTAACCTGTGAAAGAACTTTCAGAGACTAGTAGTCACAGTCACTGCAGATACTGGGCTGTTTTAATGAAGAAAGCATAAATTAATGCTGTAACGAGCCTGGATTTGTCTGCTTTTAGTTTACCTAGTTTAGGTAGGTAGATAAGAACCTGCTGTAGGGCATGTGAATGACAGCATCTCACTCACAGGGAAAGTTTGAGCTGTTAATGCTGATCATAAACACAACCAAAAGCTGCTGGTAAATCAGTTTACAGAGAAGGAAATACCATGTGTGGAGATGAGGCAGGCAGAGCAGAAAGAGAGGGGTAGGGAAAGGATTTTTTACAAATTTCTAGCAACTTCAGACATTCAGTTTAGATGCCTGCATGGGCAAACCTCTAAGCGGGTGGTTTAGACACTGGTGGAATTATTCAGCTGCACTAAATCGTTCTCTGGGGACACGATCAGCTATAGGAGGAATCTGGCCTCTGTTGAATTGGATCATGAAAATCCCTTTCCAGATCTCTCCGAAATGCAGACCTGGAAGGAGAACTTGAAGTCAACTGTTTCTAGGAACAGGAAAATCTAATAGAGCAAATGAAGCAACTAGGAGATGCTAATGGGTTGGAAAGGAAGCAGGAGACAGTAAATGGTGAAGTGTGGGGAGCTAGTAAAGATGTCATTCAGGAGCAATTTGTGATAATGAGAGAGCTCATTAAGAGGCTTGTGAGACTGAAGTTCTGTATGTGGAAGTTACTGTAGCTGAATTCAATGGTTTGTTTTATGTAAAAGATGGGTTAAAATGCAAGTAGATACTCTATTGAGGTAAGACATGCATTTTTAAATGTCATGGGCATGCAACCACTCACTGAGCTAGAGAAAAAGAAAGGATTTCAGCCAAAAGTTTGGTTTCACAGACTGACTTGTAAGGAGTGAAGGTGGGGAAGTCTTCAGATGGAAGGACCATTGTGCTGGGATGGCGCAGCAAAGAGCTGTAAAAAATATTTCAGAACGTTAACTAGGAGTTGCAAGCAGTTCCCAGAACTGCAATTGTAAAAACAGTCCTCGAAAAGCATGAGTCAGAGTAGCCAATATACTTGCTTGCAGCCTTGCTCAGGTCTCAAACTGAGTCCTGAAAAAGGAATAGATAATTTATATTTGATCACTCTGCACAGGGCAAAGATTTTTCCCAGTGATATGAATAAGGCAAAATGCTGAATAAATAGCTTATCACAAGGGGCAGAGCAGATAAGCTACAGACATGACAGCTAATGATTTTTTCTTCCGTTTTACTGATTTTGGTGGGAGCTGTAGCTCGAGGGCAGCGTTTGTTGTGCTGCAGAGCATGGTTTGCCACACTGCAGTCTGGCAGAGCTCTCCTCGCAAGCATGTTCATAGCAGTTGTGAAAAAATTCTGGTGTCTGCACACAAAAATTGAAGCCCACACAAAGGTCAAAGTGTTAGCTTACGGCTCAGGGGTTGTCTAGGACTGATGTCTATCACCAGACAAGATGCTCAAAAGGATTCTCTTCTTGCTTCTCCGCATTGCTAAGGGAGCACTGTCTCTGCAAGCCGTGAGCACTATGAATACTCTTTAAGTGCACTTGGAATGCAAAATCGTGCTGGGGAGAAGGAGCAGGTGGGACATTGTGCTGGCCCAAAACACTGGCCACATGGGCTGGGCTTCTCTAGCTCTCTGTAGGGTGAGGGGGACATTTCTGGGACTGTAGTTCTTGCTAGACTGTGGCGCTGTGGCACCGAAGTGGCCTGAACAGGGCTGTACTTGATGAGCAGAGCCAGGCCCTATAGCAGCAGTGCCGGTTTTGCTAACCTCATTTCAGATCATGTTCTCACTAGAGTGAAGAACAGGGCTCTTTTCTAACTGATCTGGAAGTAGCAAGACCAATCAAATGTTTTCAGACAGTGTGCTGTATACCACGGAGGAATAATAACTTGTCAGGACTGCAAACAGTGATCTCTACAAACAGTCATTTTTCAGACAGTCACACAGATGCCAATCATTTCCTCTGTTTCTTCTCCAACTCTTCTGGATTATAAGCAGAAAAAAAAGACAAAAGAAATAATAAAAGGAGACCTGTGAGGAACATCTTCCTACTTTTTCTCTGTTTCTCTGGCTAGATCATAGACTCCAGACTTTCAGCAGACAAGATGTCCTCAGGAGCCTTCTCCATCCAGACTTTAAAAAACACTTTCAGGGAGGGAGGTCACACTAAGAGCCTAGAGCACGTAAGGCTCCGAGCCGAGTTCCACACACCTTAAGAAAAAATTCTCGGAAGTATCTTCCAACATTCAGCCATATTTTGTTCGTCCTGAGAAAACTCTAAACCTGACTATCTTACAATCATTAGGGAAGAGAAAATCATAAACCCGGGAGACTGGAAATCATTTAATTCAATTTCCATATTAAACCCAGATGCCAAACTTGGAGCTAAAATATTTTCATGCTACTTTGTTCCATGGGAACCATTCAGTTAATGAGAATATCACAGATGTCTCAGCATCACCAGGAGTTCAAAGCCCTGAAGCCTTCAGGTTCAGGTACTTTCAGGACATGGTCTTGGACCGTATCTTTACTTGATCATGAAAGCAAATGGATTGCTGCTTTAGTAACAATTCTATTATAGACTGGGTAGTTTCCAGCCCATCTAAAGTTTTCATATTGTCTCCACAGTGACTTAAAATTCTCAATATATTTACGACAATCTCTCATGGTAGTAAAATAAATCCTATTTTACAAATGGAACAAGAAAGCCCATAGAGATTAAGGCTGTGTCCATACAACAGGACTGGTACTTGTGTCATGTAGCTGTGTGTCCTGACTTGCAGTCATCCAGAAGGGAGATCGCCTGGAGCTTGGACGCAGGGAATTCTGGAAACGGAGGCCTCGAGCCATGGTAACAGTTCACCTCATTTTATTAACTGCTTGTGCAGATACACTCTTCTGCAAACCCTATTTTTTTCTTTTTGAAAAACCATGTTCTGCATGTGGTCATGGGATGTTCCTTTGTAAGAAGTCGTGTTTAAGCACTGTGTTTTCACAAGATCTAGTCTGTTCTTTTTCTGCTTGCTTTTTGTTCTTGTGATCGCCAGGCCACTTGGCAGCACTTCACAAACTTGGAGCCTGGGCTATGAAGGAAGAAGCATAGAATTGCATTACTGGTTCCTGTTAAAGACACTTGGATCACTCAGGCAGCTATGGGATGGAAATGACTCCTTGTCGGTTCCTAGTCAGTAATGCCAACTAGTGTCTCCATCTTTCTCTCCTTCCAGACTTTCTGCTAAATCAATCCTTTCTTCTGTACATTTTGTGCATTTTAGAGTCCAGATTTGCTTTGCACTGACTGGTCTTTGTATAGAAGACTCTATTTATAGCAAACTGAGATGAACTGTTTATTTTCTTCTACTTGAACCTGGCTGCAGAAAACATTTCTATCCCTTCTTACCTGACCTTAAACTCAAATGCTTTTATACTTTGGGGTGTTCAAGGTTTGAACTGGAACTCTGTGCCTTGTGCTTATTGTTAATGGAGAAGTCAAGTTGTTGAATGTAGATATTCTATTACAGATAAAATCCAACAGAAGTTCTAGAGAATCCTGAATGGGGAGAGGAAAAGCTGTCCATGCTGCTACTGCTTTTCAGCCTTTCTAATTTGTCTGTTTGGTTGGCTGCTATGAAACTTCTCATATAAACAGAATATTACGTGAGTGTGACATTACATCTTAAACTCTGGCAACAATAAGGAATGAAGGAGACAACGTGATGCAGTAGTAGTACCACTATTGTGGTAGTGGTAGTGTGAACATTGTATTTTAGTGGTCAAAAAGCATTTCTCAGTCCTTGACCAGTCAAACTTACTGGGACACGATACCTTTTAATCTTTACTGGTTAAGTAACAGGTGCCAGGCAAAACAAAAGTGGTACTGACTGAACCCAAATAGCATCCTGCATCCCAGGCAGGCCCTAAATAACCTGGGACAAGCCTGTCTAAGGGATACTCACTTGTCCCAAGGCAGTGATCAGCGAGGACACTCAGGCCAGCTCCTTTAGAGGAGCTTTACGTGCGTTCTTTCTGCAGGGTCTCTTAGACTCTCTAACTGCTTCTATTCAGCAGAGCCTAAAATTAGTAGCTTTTCCAAGTATGCTACAAAAGGCAGCAGGTACGAACATTTCTTAGCACGTCAATGACTCTTTGACTCACCACCAAATTCCTGCCTAGGATTCATCTCCCCTAACTCCAGTTCCATGGAGTGGGGACTCTTTGGTGGTGCCTTTTTCTCCACATGGATTCATAAGAGAACCTGGTCTAGCTTTAGCTTTGATGCCTTGCTTTGAGACGGTTAAAGGGAGCAGTAAAATGAATCCTGCCATTTCAGCGCTATGAGGGGACTGCTACAACAGGCTGTCTTGTCAGTCACGAGGAGAAAAACTTCCAAGAAATGAACTCATTTCCAGGGAAATGGAACAGTCCGAAAAACAAGGGCTCCTCACAGCACAAAGCAGGTCACCCACAGCACTGAACAGATGCCCATTGCTGGTCTTATGGATCCTGTAATGTAGGTTACGTGACTAAATCAGGCAAGTCAGAAACTGGGAGATGGCATGGAAAGAAACAGATCCTAGAGAAAAAAAAATGTTAAGACATCTTCACATGGCTTTAATGCTTTTGCTTCAAATTATTGTACTACTCTTGAAGTTTAAGCTTTCTTTCTCTGTCCCTGCCTGTGAATATCCTATTTTATATTAAAACTGACTTCATGTGTTTTCCTCTGGGAACAGGGTCACATATGAGGCACCTTTCTCAAATATATATTGCTTTTTTAAAAAAATTGTGCAGCTATTTTTTTCAGAGATTTCCTGATACAAGAATTAATTTTGGAAATTGCTATAAATTCAGCCTTTTGAAAATATTAATAAATGTTTTCAGTTCTTTTTTAAATTAAGAAAAATTTTTAATATTTATTTTCTAGAAGCCCATGAAAACATTTACAGCAGGCCTAGTAGTTTAAGAATTTTGGGCAGTTTCACAACTTACATGGTGTTTTATTACCAAAGCGATTGAAATGTTAATTTGCCGTCTGATTTCTACTAGCGTGTAACTGAAAACTGCTGCTGCACCATTTTCATAAATTCAAATTCATATTTCATTCTACGGCTGGACTAGGTCAGTTATATTACAAGAGAGAACCAAAGGCTACACGCACCCACTAGGAAAAGTTTGGGTCTGGCTTCAGATCTATACGTGGGGGACAAGCTTAATACTAATTGGTCTATAAATAAATAATAAACTTAGCACTTTTCTGTTGTGTAGCATCCCACGGGAGCCATCTCTCCGTCTCTCACATGTATACACATGGATTCTTTTCCTATTAAGAATTTCCAAATGCTGCAATTAGAACAGTCATTGAACTTGGCTCTTATTGACCACATTACTCCAGCTTCACTGGTGAACATGGCCCTGAACTCCTTTAGCTGTTCCATCAGAGGACCATTTAATGGGGAAAAAAGCAGCTGAGACATTTTCTATAACATGAAACCCAAGAGAAAATAACCTGAACATAAGACACAACAGAATCTTCTTTTTTTCCTCATTTATACTTGATGTTTGATGACAATTCAAAAAAATCCATTCAAGCATAGGAACTCACTGTTTACATTTGTCCTGTTATATACAATCAAGAGCAGCACTGATAAAACTATTGTTTGGGTAGACAGCAGCACTTCAGATGGACAAGGATGCAAATATTCCAGCCTGGGACAGACTTGCCACACTGCTCCATGGCAGTCCCGCAGCCATACGCAACGCTGTCTCAGAAGGATGCCTGCTCCAAAAATTTTCTTTGGAGGGGGGTACCCAGAAACATGGGCTTTAATCATGTAACTCTAGTCAAGTAACTTCTGTTAGCTCTCCCTATAGCTAAGAGAGAGAGAATTGCCTTTCCATGTCTTTTGAGGAACTTGGAGAGGTCTTCCAGAAAAAATTATCAGATATTCCTTCCTTGCTCTCCTGTCCTGAATTCTTTTTTCGCCCAGGTGGAGCAGGATGTACTGCAAAGCTGCTGCCTGTTTTTGAAACATTATATTGCTTTTTGTCATTTTTATCTCAACCTCTTAAGGTTATATGGGTCACAGTTGTTCCTCCTCTCCTATAGCAAATGGGAACTGAACATTGTAACCTTCCCTTTTTATACTAGTTTTCATTATGAACCACATATAGCTCCCTCGGCTGCAACCTGCCCTGCTTTGCAAACGGGGGTAAGAAACAGTGGGCAGGAAACAACCTCCTAAAAACTTTTTTCTTTTTTGCTATAATATTGTGTCTTTCTAGCATCTCATGATCAGTTGTTCATGACTTTTCAGAACGTTTAAAAGCTTAAAAAAAGCTCTTTCCTGGAGATCTTTTCTAGCAGTGTTCTTATACATACATATATCTACATATCTGTGTATAAGTACAAGTTTTTCTCCCAGCTATCAGTCAGCTATAGACGAAATCTACAACTTCACAAACAAAGTGTATAGTTTCTGTTTCACTTAAGCTGTGGATTTTTTTTTTTTTATTCCTGAAGTATTTTGTATCAAGAAACTATAATTTCTGTTAAATTCTTACATATTAGCAGCTTCAGTCTGGATGAACTTCAAAAGGGAGCATATGTCACCACAGCCTTAGTTCCCACACTCACCGGCTTTGGATTCTGTTTGCCCAACTGTCGCCAAAGGCACTGCAGCTTGCAAGACAGATTATTTGTCTTATACTGGAGAAAGGGAATAAATCATAAAGTATCAAACTCTTGGTTATAACAGTGTGGCTTATTTAAATAGAGGCTAGTTACAGGTTCTAACTTTCCTGACCTCTCTCCCATCCCTGGAACGTTTCAAAGCATGGAGGAAGGTACACGGTTTTCCCTCAATCATATTCAAGTGAATTCAGCAAGGTACTTACCTTTGATTAAAACCATAAGTGAGATCTTAGGCAAAGGGAAAGAAAGGTCCTGTGTGCCAAGCCGTGCAGCACTACCTGGATGCACAGGTAAAGTGATGGTGGGGGGCTGCCCATGATAGCAGTCAGAGGAGCAGGACATACCTGACCGCTGGACAGGGAACATCTCAGCAGACAAAGCTGGAGAATTAACTGAGTGAGGAAGGGCCAAGGCAAAGGTCTCCCCTTGTGTAATCACAGCTTAACTGAGAGCCTCCAACCTGCTGAATTAAGGATTTCTTCTTGCTGTAGTATTAGCTGTCTCCACAGGGTGACACGGCAGCACAAGGATGAAGCTTGATCAGAAGGAGATGATCCCAAAGCACAGCAGAACTTGGATCTCCTGCAGTACGAGTTTTGAACAATACTGGAACAGTGATTCTGCCATTTCTGCGAGGCATGGGCCTCTCTACCTACACAAGTGCAGCAAATATACTGCATTTGAGAGCACTGGTTTTACCCAGCTTGCTTGCAAGGGCAGGTGGAGTGGGTGTGCTTGGATGTCCCACAGCTACTGCCTCCAACACAGCTACAGGACAAATTCCGGACAAATCTCCAAAATCTTCCAATGCCACCTGGATGAGATTTCCAAAGAAAGACGTGACATGTCTGCAGTAACCTGTCAGGTACACTGGCCTAGCTATAATACAAACAGTTTCTGCAGAACTTGTTCCTATTGCCTCCTGCAAAATTAACTGAAACTCAAGGATGCCAGGGAAAATACACAACTAGAACGTGATGAGGGAGTGTGGTGGGGGTACAAGCTCTGTTTGTACTGCAGCTCTCGGCCCTTTCCCAAAATTACGGGGAGCTACAAGGAAGTTACAAAAGCTGCGGAATACAACAAACATATGGAATTGAGCTCTGATCAGTCAAAAGGAGAGCTCAGATCCTGATCCTGCTCATCAGGTAAGAGCACTGCCACTGATTTCACTGCACCAGAGGTCACTGATTCCATTGCCCACCCGCCATGAATCATATGGTTAAGCCCAGAGACGTTCATAAAGGTCATGTATTCGGGAACTAGTCTACTGTCCTACCCAGCAGAATAATAACAAGGCTAAGGTAGTCAGAGGTAAATGTATCTTTAAGTGGAAACCTTGCAAATGAATCTAAGGATTTTTTTTTCTCCAATATTGATTTTAATAAGGCAAAAATTTAGCCATATCTACATACTGAGTTTACAGAATAAGCTCAATGCAGAAATAACACATCTAAATTCCAAAAAAGATTCATCTCAAACAGAATTGTCTTCGTATTTACAACTACCCTGCATTTTGTATTTTTTTTTTTTTTTTTTAAAGAGCTAAACTGAAGAGCAATAGTATTTAGATATGGAAATTAGTATAGTTGTACTAATGCTGTGAGACTGTATGTACTGCTTGAAGAAAGTACCTGACTTGTGACTGGGAGCTAGGACTTCATCTTGCTTGGCTAGGTGAAATTGAATTTTGACTGCATGTCCAAGACATCACACACGCAGCAACATTATTTAGCTTTTGTTTTCTATGGCTGAGCATAGCAAGTGGAACACCATGGAGGGACAATTTTCAGGTGGACAGAGATAGTCAGTGGCATTTTCTAAAATTAGCTTCCCTTTCTCTGTTCTCTTTGAGGCAGATCTCAACAGACAGTGGTGTTCTGCTTGAAGTCAGAAAGTTCTCGCTAGAAAACCATCTCATCTGGCCCTTTGATTAAAAGGTGGAAGATTGTGCACTGACAGGAGTTACTCTTGTCTGAAACCATGCGCTGAAATCCTCTTCGGGCATCTGCACAACACTTTCACGTACAAACTGAAACAGAAAAAGGTGTTTTCCTGAGCATTTAGTTTATGGGCAAGAGAGAGAACATCAACCAGATGTGCTGTGGGAAAATATGAGCATGGTATCAATGGAAAAAACATGCCAACTTCTGCAAGCAGTTAGTGCTTTTTATCACCAAAATAAAGATGAAAATAGGAGAACCTAAATTATTGGATTTGCTATAAAATTAAAAGCAAATTAATTAAAAGCAAAACTCCACGATCTTCATTGTAAACTGAACCCTGAACACTTCAAAGACAGCTTGCAGCGGTCTTCTACCTACCATTTAACTAAACAGAAAGCAACCTGAAGTTGGTGGTACAGGCCAAACATGCAAGATGCCCAAGACATCACAACCTGCTGCCTTTCAGATATTTCTGCTGGTCATGTAGCTGAGAGCAAAGAACTGTGATGAGAACAAAAAGCACAAGGTGGCATCATTGCCACTTCTAAATTAGAGTTACCTGGTTAGACTACACAGTAGTATATATTCTAAATGTATTCTCTTCTTTTCCTTCTTTTCTCTTTCTTTTAGCTTTCCTCTTCTGTACATTGCTTTTAGAACTACAAGAGTTGAGCCCAGCTTAAGAAGTTGAGAAGCTTATTATTTTTCATATGATGCTAAAGCACAACAAACAAATTTGTGGAGTTCCTAGATTAATGGTACTTGAATAGCTGGTGGATGTAACCATTGGGAATGACAGGCACAACAAGCACTCTCTTAAAGTACCCACAAAATTTATGACAAATGTCACCATCACTCTGGCAGTAATCAACAGTGATCTAATGATAAAATGATACAGAATAACAACGCACTAAATAATGGCTTTCTTTTGAAGAGCTTGAAGTGCCTTATAAAAGATGACTACTACTCTCTTCATTTAGTGAGATGCCGAATGATTTCATCTCGTAATTTCACGCTGCATGTGTTTCACCCGTGAATGTCTGCTCTCCCCATCCTCTCATCACAGAGTACCAAGAATTGGACTCGTCTCACCTCCACAGCTGCAGCAATTTCTGGAGAGCACAGCTCCCACACTTGGAGATCAGCCAGGGCCTTTAGAAATGTGTCAGGACGAATTCTCAAGTCAGGATTCTTGCCAAATTTTTCCAGTTTCTTTAAGATTTTCTGTACATAATGGTCATTCTTCACAGACTCTGGGAGTCTGGCCAGCAACACAGGAAACCTTTAGCGGAAAGAAGAGCAATGAAAGAGAAGCCCTTAGTACAATTTCTTATCTGCTGGGTAGTCTGCGTTTGCTTGGCATTTCTGCTACTTCACCACCTCTATAGCTTACACAAGAAAAAAAGGCTCTTAGAGGAATGCAATAGTCAGTGTAATTCCCAGTGAATAATGGAAATGTGTTTTATTTTACCAACCTTGTGCACTGGCATTAAAACAGATGCTTCTTCATTGTTCATTTGAATTCTAAATGACAAACTTGGGTATGAAAGCTAATAATAAAACCCTAACAAATGCTTCCATTTTTTTCTAGTGATTTGTCCTCTTCATCTTTCCTCCTTTTATTTTGTTTAGCCTCTGAGGATCTTCCTGAACAATCAGTGCCTGATCTGACACACTTTCTGATTCCCTTTACTGTTCCATTTCCCCGTGCTATCATTTCTCCCCTCTATGTGCTCACATAAATCTCGCTGATGTGAGCACTCTGTAACACACTGTTTTTGCCTTTTTACTCTGAACATAAAGACTCAGAAGGAGAATTACACATTACAGTAAAAATGAAACTCTTGTGAAAAGACTCCCTTAAAAAAAAATATTCTGTGTAAATTCTGCAGTATGACAATTGTGGAGATTTATGCCCTAAGCCTCTCCTGACATGACTGAGGTGGACTGTGGCTCTTCCACTGGAAAAAGCTGGGAATTTGGCAGCATATTATCAGAAAGGGCTGCCTTCCCTCTCCCTCCCTCTCAGTTTAGGATACACTTTACTGTGCCAGTAGCAGGATGAGGAATTCCCTCCTTAAGCCAGTAATAAAAGGAAACAGGTCTACAGTTGGATCTACAGTTGGACCACAGCAGTGGTACAGCTGAACAGCCAACTCATTAGCACTGGTTGGGTTACTGAGGACACACAGAGGTCTTTTATAACCCATACATTTCTTAATTCCCCTTTTCAAAGAAATTATCTTATATAACTGTGCTCTTTACCCCACTGTGTACAGTTTATATTATTTCTGTCTTTTCTCACTTTATGAGAGAAATAAAACAAGCAGACTGACAGCATATACTAGTAAAATGCCTCTACTGTGATTCAGTTCTCCTGGCAAAGCAATGTAGAACATAAGGGAAAAAAGCAACCTTCCTTTAAATGAAATAAGTGGCACGGTAAGAGCAATTTCTCTGACAAGACTTTGTCTTTCTATAGGGATGTTGACCGGCTCTATCAGTCTGGGATTTCATCATTTTCATTATGAAGGGATAGTAGACTGATGCTACTATGAGATGCTATTATGAGACAGAGGAGAAAAGAAAAAGCTAAGTAGCAATTTGAAGGTTTTCTAGCTATACTTTCACCTAGAGGTAAAAAGGTAAAAAGTATTGTTGTACTAGAGACAAAAGTCTTGGACCTCAACTCAGCTGAACGGAGGGTCTTCATGCTTCCTTACCATTTGAGCTCATCTTCATCATGTTCTCTTTCAGCTCTCATTCCCAAGTGTCTCATTCTTTCTAGGTCTCTCTTAAAATACTTGATATGCTTCAAAGCTTGGTACTTTTGGCAACACCTCTCTTCCTGTCTTCTACAAAAAAAAAAAAAAAAAATTAAAATTATTTTAAACTTCTTTAAACTTTACACATTCTTATTGTTACTCAGGAAGATACTAAGATACTTTATCTTCCACTTTTGCACTGTATCCACTGCTTAAGAGGAAGCAGTAATGCTGCACAGTCGTTTAAAGTAAAGTACTATTTCAAACACAACATAAAAGAGGTAAATTTGATGACCCATGTAGAACTTTTATGCTGAGTTTGGGTTAATGTATGCATTCCTACAAGAAGCTCTACTATGTTATAAGAAAAGTAAACAAAAATCTATTTTTTTTCCTAATAAATGACTTATACTCAAATGCTAATCAAACACAAAATGCTTGTGAGGCTGTATGGAACACGGCTAAATAGCTGCAAGAAGTACATCTCCATCTGACTTCTCCTTCCCACAGGATGCACCCATACTGCATGGAATGTCTTAATTCCTTAGCCAGTCACAGCAGCAGCTCAGGGAATAAAACAAAGAACAAAGCTCCAGATAAGGAAAGCTTTAGAGTCAAAAGGTATATGCATACAGATAGACAGTGTCTGTAACACTCCTCAGAACAGTGATGTAGAAAAGACCTCAGGTCTGTTGCTTATTGAGGAAGAGCCTAGAAAATTGTCACAGATGATGCTTCTAGATGAAAGGAAATAAGTGACAGACTTTGACCGCTCAACATAGTAAAAATCTCACTGATCTAGGAAAAGGAGAGAGGCCTTTGCAACTGTTACTATGAGAAGAGTCCACGCAATGCTGAAGAACAATGTAGTGACTGCTGAACTGAAAATCTGTCAGTTTTATGGATTGTATGGGGGCTAAATTTATTATTCACTCCTTTGGGGAAAAGGATTATAACATCCAGAGCAAGTACAGCCATAGAAGTAGTTCAGAAATCCCCCAAAACCCTACTGTAAATATTTAACCTGTAGTACATTTTTTTGTGCTTTGGCAGTCAAAAAAGCTTCAGGGCCATCCCGGTTACTGTTAGGTTAATGTCATTCCATATGAACCACCGGATGCATCATTAAAAGCCTGAAGGCAGGTCCTAAACCTGGTCAGACGCAAGGCCTCTAGCGTCTTAAGGGTTATGGAAAACACTCTGTTCTTACCTCTCAAGGCTCTCTAGGGTGTCATGTAAACAGGAAGCTGCTTCTTCACGTACTGCCGTGAACTTTTGCCTCATATCAGCACACAAATTCGATTTGCTTTTAATAAAAGAGCTGATATGGCAGCTGCAAGAGGAACAGCACAGAAAATTGGAATTAAGCATCTTCTGGTAACCATCTTGTGGAAACCACCTGTGTTGCTCAGAACTCACACTGACCTGAACCCAAAGACTTCAGTTCTCAGATGCCTAAATTCTGACATCTCCTTAGCCACAGTAAAAATTCAAATTTAATCATTTAGAAGGTTTTTAAAATTCATTAAATGCATGAAAGAACTGCCTTCAAATATTTGTCTGCAACTTAAAATGCATTTCCTTGTGACTATATGCATAATCTGTTTATGTTCATCATTGGGAACTATCAGGGGTCTGAGATTTAATAGTAAAACTGTTTACAGAAGTGAATTTTCATCTGGAATTCTTAAATATTCATTGAGAGTAAGCATCAAGTTACACATCAGAAACTCATAGTTTCTGATGAATCACCAGAAGTCAGGTAAAAATCACCCCAAATCTGTATAAATACAGATTGCTAATTGCAAGTAATACTAGATATTACGAACAGGCCAACTTCTTTGATAATTAATGTTTAGCACTTCACTTTATCTGACATCTAGCTATGAAACTTTAAGTGCAGCAAGGCTGTGGAAAATGTACTGTTGCACACAGTATGCCTACCCATTGGCTTTTTTCATTTGCTTTGGACTCTCCTGCTCTTTAGTTGTTGCTGTGGCTGTTCCGTCTTTCCTTTCAGTCAGAGCAAGTGAACTGCAAGGAAAAAAAAATGTATATATAGAAAAAAAATTATATATATATATATATATATATATAAAAGTTATATATGCAGTTAGCTTTAACCTTGCTAAAAAGAAGACATGAAAAAGGAGGAAAATAATTATTATGGAATAGGAAAATTATTATTATGGTAAATATAGAAATCCAAGCATATAATTACCAGTTATAGCAACAGGAAACCCAAGGGAAAAATCCTTTGCACTGTATTGAAATATGCTGCAAGGGTTCCCAGTTGCCCTGGTGTCACTGCAATAAAATGCTCTGTGCTCTCTGACATTTGCATGCTAAATGCTTTCCACGCATTCAGGTGAGTTTACACAAGGCACAATGTACTTCAGACCCATGCATATCCTCCTCCCTACCGTCTGGCTTTCTGCTCTCCCGATGCGATGCTCCCCTGCTCCTTAATGAGTGCCACATTTACCCTGTCATCCTTTGGAGCCACTGAGAGCAAACTGTAAGACAAGATAAGGTTTAAAATAGCGTACAAGATGCCTTCTCCAGAACGTGAGACATTCTACAGGTGCTGATGAAACATTTTTAATATAACAAATGTATTGGAGCTATCCAGGAATGATCTTTTTTTTTATTAGTAGGAGTTTCCCTGACCTCAACCCAAATGAAAAAATGCTTCTACAAAGTCCCTTTATAAGAATGGCTTCTTGTGCTGATTCTGTTGCTGTGGAAACTACCACAGAACCAAGTTACATCTGTTTAATTTAGAAACAGACGTAGAAATTTTTTAGCAGAAATGCTAGGAACAGAATCACACTGAAGAAGTAGTTGGGATATTATTTGTTACTCCTTTGCCAAGGGGTCAGCTGCAGCAAGAACCATCTTGCTTTGGCATATCTAGTGAATCTCCAAAAGCAGACAATGGAAGATAAAAGATCTCTTTATTCCAGCAGAACTGTTACACAGCATAAAATCTTTTTTTTTTTTTTTTTTTTTTTTTTTATAAGGAGTAAGATCCATGGGGTATGAAAAACAAATATTGAAAATTAAATACGAAAGATTTGAAAATAAATCAGAAAATAGATACTGCATACCCAGCAGTAACATGGGCTATTCTGTCACCCATACCAAGAAACATCAGCGTCCTCTGAATTCACTGAATGTTGAATTCAGATGTTCTGAAAAAAACATAAGCTCTGTCAAGGTAAATTGCTTCTCTTCTCCTAGTCATTCAGAAACCCATCAGGTAACATACCCTTGCAGTTCAGTCTTCTTAGCTCTATCTTCTTCCTTATAAAAATCTTTTGACACCTCTTCATGTGTTATCTGGATTAACCTCTGTAGGGCTGACAAAAAGTATTCTGTAAAAACATGCCAACTCAACAGTGACAGTATTAAATAACTTTTAGACATAACTTAATAGACAGTATTAAATAACTTAATAGACAGATGTTTATAAAATGGAAGAAACAGAAATGAAGAAATATTTTGTAGCTTTAGAAGCTGCTCCAATTTTCCATCTGGAAAGAATGAGGAAATGAATAATCTTGAATATTGACCTCCACAGCTGGCAATTAGTGAGGCATTAATTAGAAAAGAGAAAAAAAAAAAAAAAAGGCAGGAAAAAACTGCAAAGGTAGCTGCAGCAATTTCACTTGACTTCAGTCTGCAGCAACAGAGCTTGTGATGCCCAGCTCTGCCACAACTTCACTGAGCCTCAAAAAGTTCCTTTGTTCATCACCTGTGAGACAGCATGAAAACATCTACCTGTTTTGCAGGAATCCAACAATGACCAACTCATTGCTAAGACACTAATCAGCTCCAAAGAAAAGCCTCAAATTTGGATATAAGCTTTATTATAAAGATCCTTTTACAAATATGTATAACTCTGTAAAAGGTATGTTTTTGACTGGGAATTACAAAACTAGATTTCTGCCTGAAAAGCTTTGGAGATAAAATATGGTTAGTGCTTAATTCCTCAGATACAAGCCCCACATTTTACCTCCCAAGGTGAAGAAAATGTTTGTCATTTGAACTAATTTGCATGCACACATACTTCATTATGCAGTAACCATGATAAATTGGGCTTACATTTAGTACTGTGCTATTCAGGCCAGAGATTATAGAGTCTCTATGTACAGAAAAAGACAATTTCTAGATGCAGTGAAGGTAGTGGGCTTGGAACACTAATCTGCATTTGTAAAGCCTTGGACTGATTAGATAGGGACTGAATGATAAACGAGACAATCTCAGCAGTGACCTGAAGGCTGCAGCTTCCAACGCAGCGTTCAAAACTTTGGGATTAATATAGGTCTTTTGAGCAGACATTCCACAGCAGCACCCCGCAAAGAGCAGTATCTAAATTACAACTGAGCAAAAGGCTTTTCACACACTTTTGAATTCTTTCCTTAAATTAAAATCTTTCTGTAAGAGTCATGTTCAGATGTATCTGCTGATTAGCTGCCTAAAATAAAATCTTTTCCCACTTTTGACATATCTATGCATGTGTGTGGGTGAGAGTTGTGTGTGTTCTCCCTGTCACGTCTGCATGAGTTCTATGGAGTTTTGTGAATGCTGAATATAAAGGTACAGGACAGCTGATTTCTTGTAATCCATTTCTGACTTGTACATGAAACATCCTATCATTAAAATCTTATACTAAGGATGATCCTAGAGGCTACAGAATTTGTTATCTATTCCGACCCTTGCTACAGAGTTGCTCTGCAGAAATTAACTGCATAATTTTTAGATCTAGGGACCAGGAGGGCTACTCAAGAAAGCCTGAAATCACAGGCGATCATGTAACATGTTGTTCTAAAGGGTACACAGGTATCACAGACACCACAAAATATTTCCTCATGCCCCACAGCAAACTGATGCTCTCAGCAGCTACAGCTCTAATACAACCTGTATTTGAAGGATCTGAACATAAGAAGCACATACCATATATTTGTACGTTTCTACAACAGTGTTTTCTTTGTTTCCCACTTCCTTCCTTATCGTTCTTAGCTTCTTCTTACCTTTTGATTAGTGAGCATTGAAAGAACTACCCCAAATAACTCCAAGACCTCCTTCCTGAGAGGCAATTTAAAGACTAGCAGAGCACAATGTCAGCCTAATAATGATAATATAAACATCAATTTAAAAGAAAATTTGGCAGTACTAAATGCTAGCGTGCTTATCTGTTCCAGCTTGACTCAGGAGGAAGAGGAAAGAATTAAGATTACCTGCCTTTGTACTGAAATGCATTACAGAGCTGTCAGATAAACTCTTCTGTCAGCTCTGTCATGGGCAGGTAATTACCAATGGATGAGTAGGAGGAATACAGAGCAACAAACTCCAAAACTAAACAGGTCTGTATTTCTGCTGTCCTTGTCAAAATTCACTGCATCAGTTGGTTCTGCCAGAGAACAGCTTGACTTTTTTCAATCTCTTGTCAGGCATTACTGACATGGAAAACAGTCTGATCTTACAGTGCCCTGAATATTAATTAAAACTCCTACTTGATATCCACATGGGATTAAATTGTCTTTAAATCAATTTGCTAACAGGGAGGATGACATGGAGAGCTGTACAAAATTCTGTAAGCTTGAGGAGGAATACACTCCTGCATCCAGCAGCGTCTTTGAAGCTGGTTCTTCCTAGAAACACTGAAAGCAAATACATTTTTTTTATTGGCAGTCCAAAAAAAAAAAAAAGGCAACTTACCAGGGCAAAGAGTTTCTTCTTCTTCTTTAGTTTGTGCTGATTCACTTGTAACCTCAGATGAAGCTATATTCACGTTGACATTGTCTTCAGAGCAGAAGACGAGAGAAGGTGTGCTGTCAAGAGGAGTTTGTGTATAGGGAGATGACTGACTACTAAGCTGAGAGATGCCTAGATTAGATACTGTCTTGTATATCTTCTTGCTAAGTGGACTGTGTCGTGCTTTGTGGGTGAATTTCTGTACATACAAGAAAAAATGAAAATACAACAGGAGATTTCTACAGCATTGAATTTGACAGCATAGAATCATATTTCAATAACTACTTCCAACAGAACGCCCTTCTGGCCTTCTTGTAACCTCACAGAATTTTCTTCAGACTTTAACAAGCTAGCTGATTACTTGGATAGGACCTCGTTCATTTGGGGATCTTTCTTGAATACTCCTCTGGTGTGGCATTAATGCCAACAGACTGTAAACACATAACACTGCAGCTGCAGAGGGCTCGTAATAAAGCAGTTTTCTCATGTCCACAGAGGTAAAGGTCAAAATCGTTTGATAAATCTTTGGAACTCCTCTCCTCCCCTCCCCAGTAACCTAACAAATGAATTTTCTGTGTCAGGAATGTAAAACTTCTGCAGATTGAATTCTGTATCATACAGCAACTGCCCCTGGAGGAACCCCACGCATTCACTGGAAGCAAATATGAAAACGGCATTCAAGTAATATTAAAGAAAAGACAACAGAAAGGAAATTGTCATTGATTCAAGCTGCAAGAAAAACAAAAGCCACAGCAGTGTGAATGCTAAAAGATACAGCGAGACTGACATGCACTTTGGATTCCTCTGTTCATGTTCATTTAGACCTGACTTTAAAGAATTGGTAAGACTACAAGGAAAAATGGGAAAGTCTCCTGTTTAGGAACAACTTTGTTATTTATGTGACTCACTGACTTTCTTCTCTGTTTGCTATCAGCAGGAAGAATATTTGCATAAAAACACCATCTTTGTCTTTCAGAAGTTTGACAACTCTTGCTGCTTATTCCCCAACAGAAATCATAAGCTTCTCCTAAATCATTTTAATTATTATGTCAAGAGAGTACAAGCTGCAGGTGCTTGACGAATAACAAGAGCAAATAGCCTGCACATAACAACAGCTCGTATTTCAGAAAAGCGTGCTTCACTTCGGGATTTGAAAGCACTTCACAAAACTTGCTTAATTTTAGCCTTCTAGGGAGGCAAAGCAAGGCACTAAAGGCTTAGGCAAACTGCTGAAGATCAAAATATAGATGTAGTTCAGAGTGAGGAACAATGGAACCCATTGATATGCCTTTACCTAGCTCTCCTAATTAGACTCTGAAATATCACTCACTCCCCCTTCATTTTCATCTAGGCACTTCAGCAGTTTCAAACAGACAAAAACGCTCGCTGTAGTTTTAGAAAGATGGACCATCACAGCAGAAATGTTATCAATGCAGTACAGATCATTGCCTACAGTTGCAATTTTTAAGAGGAAGGTTAGCTTAGATACATTAGCTACATTTTCTGAGAATATTTCATTCTTTTCACATCAATATTTATCACTAAGGCCAAGCCCCACCTTCCAGTCTAAACAGTTTAAACATATGGCTTTTCCTGTTGCCTATCAGACAGGTTTTTCTTCAAGACACAGATGAGAATTCTGTCGTCACACCATCCACAGCACATCATGTTGTATCAGGGAGTTTTCATTATGCAATAAAACAAAGAAAAACAAATGCTCGAAAAGTTGGATTAGATCCCAAGGAAGATAATAGTAATGAGGTTACCTTTGTGTCTGTAATAAAGAGTTCCCACATGTATGTTGTTAACTTCTCCTCTTCAATTTCTTCTAATGTTTTCTTAGTGCCACCAGGGTCCCTAAGTGGAAAACAACTTAATTAGTTTCCATTTCTAGACTCTTGCTTTTATTACAAATTCTTTTAAGAAATGCAATAAAGAGAGGATAAATGGTAGCTGATCTCTACTGTGACATATATCTTCACTTTCAAGAAAGGGGAAGGTAATGCAAGGAGTATAAGCCAGGAATAAGTTATAGTCACAAATGAAGTATAAAGAAAGCACAGTCATTTATACTGCAAATTATAATGCATGCATTAGGTCAAATTATGCTCTCAGCTTCCTCTGTGCAAATACAGAAGAATTTTTTCCACTCTAACATGGTTTCATGGATAGAAATGACAGCAGGTTTAACTTCTCAGAAGTGGAACTGATAGCAGTAGCAGAACTTGACAATGCTTCATACTTCACACTTTAAGACTTTTTTGCTTTTGCTTACACTCTTACTAAGCCTTAACACTGGGGCTGAATATTCCACCTTTGACACCCGCCTCAAGATGTTTTTCTGTTATTTATGATTGTTTTTCCCTCTTTCAGGTAAATTTCCATTTAACTGCACATGGTCAATATTTAAGAATAATGGAAAATACTTTCTCAGTACTTAAATGCTTTAGTGCTGTACAAAAATAGAGCATGATTTGTGAGAAGGATATTATAGTGTTTAAGATGCTCTTTTTGCTGTTGTTGTATAGAATTTCTCCCAGCTTCGACAACATAAAAAGGGGTTTGCATGAACATATTCAATAGAGAGATGTCAGGATAGCAGTTAAATTTGTTGGGAATTCTGCTTGCAACAAGGATGCTGTAAACAGAGTTTTCGGAGACTGAAAGGCTCCTGGTAATTGCATCTTCAGGCACATGCATCAAAACTGAGAGCTGAGAGACAGTTATCTTCTATATTCTCAGTATCTGATGATATCCAGGCTGGAGAGAGGATAGGAGACAAAACCAATCTTCTTTGAACGGGTAAGAGTGAAGAATTTGAACATAAAGTACATGAGCTAGGGGATGATGAACAGGTTAGAAGCTAAAGAAACCCAAGCCAGGTAAGGGTGAAGGAGATGGGAGGTGAACAGAAACAGAAGTGCATTTTACATTAATTTATCTCTCATTTTAAGTGTAGTAACAAGGAGGTAAAGAGTGAATATAGAAGAGATGAGGTGGTACACTACAGCAGAGGGAAATGAAGAATCAGAGCAAAGTGAGCAAGGAGAGAAGAGAGAGGTAAGTGAGGTTACAGACAGCATCAGAGGCACAACATGCCACATGAGACTGCTCTGCTTTAGAATCTGGAAATGAACCCAGAGTCTTATGCACTTATATCCTGTTGTCAGCCAGTATCTGGAGACTTGCTGCAAAATTGTTTCTCTTATCCCACTTTATTGCGTAGTCCTCATATGGAAAGGGGTGAAAATCTCATCCACAGCACATCCTGGACTGAGTCTACTTGCTGGGGTACCAGGCTCATTCTCTATATGAGTACTATCCACCTCTGTTGTACATAGGCAAACAGCCCTGGTTAATTAAATGACTGAGAATACAAGGAGAAAACAAAACAGCTTTGAAGAGCTTTACCTTGCAAATCAGAGAATAAATTGTACAGTGTTTTACCAGGCATGAATAATTTAAATATATTCAGTGTCAACTATTTTGTATTTATTGATGAAAGATGTTTAGAAATTAAATTACTATTTACTTGTAACAGTATAAAAGTTCAGCAGCAGTGCATCTTTACAAGTACCCATCACTGTCACACATCATTGACAGAATAAAACCAGCTAGTACACATCACTTAATAGTCAGCTTTGTTCTGTAATTACAGCATATCTGAAATTCATGGTTATTTCACAGGGAAAACCCTCTAAGGAAGGCTGCAGAAATATACATACATTACTACATGTATTTAATGAGCATAATTATTAAAAGGCGGGGAAGAGAAAGAAAACACAACTAAATTAACTAAATTTGGCAGGGGAAGCTCAGTATTTTTTGCTAATTCTGCAACTTGTAATAACCAAGGGCCATGCTGTGCTACTGATTTGAATGTTCAGCCCCTGCCAACTGCACGAGGGCAAAGTCAAAACACAAGTTGTTTGTGCTGCATGGCTCAATCAGTAACATTTCACTCAAACAGCTGTTGCCTGAAGAAGGTGCCAACATTGTATTAAGAACATAAAAACCCGAACCCTTCAATCCTTTCAAGTCTATTCTGCATTGCAAACTTACGTTGGATTCCAGCAGGTTAATATGGAATGCATAGAACCACTGGATTCGAGAGTCAAAGCTTCCAAAAGCCAGTGTACGGCGCACAGCTGTCGGAAAAGATGTTCACTGCAAAGGAGAAGATAAATTTAGACTTTGCTAAAAAGTCAGGGAAACACAGCCAAACTGGCAAATCAGCCAGGGCTGCCAATCTGATGCACCACCTTAGGAATGGAAGAGATGAGAAGTTGCTGTTCATTGCACAAATACCCAAAGAAGCTGCTGGTCGCATTTCCCTAAGCCTGCGACAGCCTGCACACCACCAACACCATTCCCAGTGCCTGGCCCACATGAGGAGGAGCTGGAGATCTGGTACCACATGTGTACAGCTCAGCCCCAAGCTGAGTTAAATGACTGTTAATGATAATGATAAAGACTGAGAGTGGGTGCAGACCAACCTAGAGGTTAATACTCAGTGCACAACTGGCGTGGTCAAGGAATATTTGACTTTTCTGGCAACGGGACCACTTTGAGGACTGCTAGGAATGAACTTAGAAAAGAAGCCCCATTTAGATTCCTATGGTTTGGGATTCTAAGGTACCTTCCAACAGCTTTGTGCTTAGGTGAAAGTAGCCAAAGCGGCTGCTATTAGTACAAACTCTTTCAACATATACTTCTGAAATTCTCAAGAATCACCTTCATGAAATGACCAAAGGCTCTTAGTGTATGTATTATGTGTCTCTATTGCCCTGAATTCTGCATGTGTCCTGCTAAGACACATGCAGGATATAATTTGCCTTCAAACATACCTTTTTGCTTCAGTGGAGTTTGGAATCAAGACACTGGTATAAATAGGAGTGAAAGACCGTAAAGTCACCTTCTTTCTTCTCTTTCTTTTCACTATCTTCCCCTGGGAATGGTCTTCTGTCAGAACTGCGGGACTGGGGGAAAGAATGAAGATGACAGTTAGAACAAGAGTATGTGAAATGAAGACAGAACCAATACAATTGTTTACTCGCATCACAACATTCCTTCTCTCCTGCTTAAAAACAAATAAATAAACAAACGCTCAAGTGCATTCCTGAATTCCTAAAGTACAGAATTTGTTAGTACTTAATATTACAAATTAAGTGCTTCATTTTTTTACTATTATGTATTATATTTGTAAATCATGACAATCTCAAGAACTTAAAAATCATTGAAAATATTCACTTATAAAGATAGTGAGCACAGCATATGGAACTGAATGAAACCTTTACTATAGGCCTTTTGGTCTATAAAGAATCATTTACCAGGAAATGTGAGTTTCTCGAGAGCTGTGTTTTTGAATTTTTTTCCTCTGTGATTTTGAATCAGGGTGTCATATTAAAAAGCATCAACTTGCATTTTAAAAGGCACATAAAGGTACATTCGAAGATGTATGAAAACCTCAATATCTTTTTAATGCAAGGAAGGCAGGATTATGGAGTTAGCAGAGACAGAATATAGTTACTTCTCAAAAAAATATGCATAGCATATTTCTATATATGCATAGTATACTTCTGCATACTATGTCAAAAATACAATATTAAAAAGGAATAGAAATTCCTGTAACCAACACAGACTGTCAGCACTTTGCTGTCTGAAGCAGGACAAGTAAAGTAGGCTTTCAAATTGTCAGTTAATGGGCAGTCTAAAGGAGCCACTTTTTTTAAACCATTGCCCTTGGACCACCAAAACTCCTCTGAGCTGACTTACATACTTATCTCTTCCTCAGACTCCTCGTCAGATGAGTATCTGGGTGGCTGACATGTAGTTCTCCATCTCATGTCCTGAGCCTGTTGTGCTGCTTTCAATGCTTTTTTCCTCTCCAGAGATTCTTGCTGAAGCATATGAAAATATCCTCTCCCTTGCTTCACCGCCGTGATATGACGCCTGCCAAAAGTCAACTTAAGATGGTCAATGTACAATTCCTCAGCAGGAACTAGCACATCTTCCTGTTCGCTACCTCCGCACAGCACTGATTAACTATTAGATATATTGAATTCAGCATTGATTTCTCCAGTATTTGATGTGAAAATTCCATAATTCTAATTTATAGCAGCCACTTGAATACTGGCTGCTATAAATGAGGGACAGTGAGTCCCTCACTGTTTGAACTCAGTGGTCACAGGCTGCCAGCCACAGTCCTCAGGCTACACGGTAGCTGCTCAGTTCCATTTGCTGTCTCCCCACTAGGCCAAGTAGGTGAGAATCATTCATTAAAATGCAAATGTAATCGAGATGAAATTTGGAATACATTTATTAAAGTAATTGAGCTTCAGGCAGCTGTAGTCACCACACAGATTTTCAACTGCTTTTCAGACAAAAGGATGTGTCTTATTTTTGTAAGTTAATGCCTCTGTCAGCATGGGAATTTAGACTTTTCTGAGCACTAAGTGTGTAAAGGAATACTTCATTTTTTTCTATGGGAATATATCATTATAGATAAGGGTCAGTGACATGCACAGTAGAGTGACCCAGTAGCATATTCCACAAGGAGAAAATTGATTGTAAACATATATGTTATAATGCTTGGCACATTCTTATTAAATTACTCTTTAAGTCCTTTATGGATCAACAGATAATTGTAATACATAGCCATTAAAGTATTGGTGAATTGGTAAAACCAAAGATTAGGGTTTCTTGATACCTTTTTGAGCAAGGAATGATTCACAAAAATAAAAGAAAATCATTAATTCATCCTAATCATAAATTTGGTGCTAGACTAACATTAAGAAACTCCAGAAACTTTGCCATCAGGCTCAAGACAGATTAGATATTTACTGGTTTTCTTAGACTGTATTTTAATATATCTTACTTAAATAAATTGAAGGGAACCACACTGTATATGTACTTGTCCCAGAAGATCAAATTTTACAGTTATTAACAACTTGACTTAGTATGCAAAAAAATCCCATGACAGGTGGTTTACTAAAGGACTAAGATGTACAGTACTGTATGTGGGATGCCAAAATTCCTGCTCAGCTGTCCAAGGCTGAATAGAGTTGTTAGGAAGGTGGGCAGAAACCTACCCAGCCATGTGGTTGCTCCTCTCTCTAACGACTGTCCTCAAGGCAGCTGGTGATTACCAGGGAAGCTGTAATCTCATTAACTCCCCCTTTTAATTGGCCCCAATCCCACTCCCTGAGGTGCAATGGAGTTGCAGTTTATTTAGACCAAGTGGCCTTTCTAAGGCCTAATTTGGTCTTAGGACCATGGTGAGCAAAAATTGAGAGCTGCAAGGAAAATAACTATTTATCAAACAATATAACTGAATACCTAGCATTTCTCTGATTGTGGGAATTGTTAAGACACTGTCTCATAAAACAGTCGTACTATTTTCCTGTTTTAATAGACACGGGTTTTAGATCAATAAAGCTAATGGCCGGACATCCCTTGTTCCAAGCACTATCTTGCAAGACTTCAGTCTTTTCCAGGGGCTTTTCCATAGCCAATTGCAGATATAAATTAAACCAATGTGGCATTACTCTGAAAGCCATTAGGAGCACAGGCTTTCTTAATGTCACTTCTTATACTTTCAAGAAAAGCATTTCAATCTGCACTGGCAGCACCGCCTACTAAACCAGGGAAAGGTTCTCCTTGGGTGCAATGCCAGCCTCTGCTAGCGGTGTCGCAAGGTGAATGTTAGATGGGCACTGTCAAACTTGTTGCACTTTTCACAAACCGAACACGAGCTAACATTTGTCAGATGAAAGCCAAGTGCAATCTCCTGCACACTGTCACTTAAAGGAATCATTCCAAGTAATATTTGAGTAGTGTTTTCTGTAGCAGAGAAAGTAATATACCAATACATCTCTATACAAAACATAAAGGGCAGAAGGTAAGCGCAGTTACTTTGAAATTACAATAGAGCTAAACTATATTAAATATTCTGAATATTTCCAACTAAAGACAGATTAAAAAGCTGGATAAGTCTTCCAGATGAACGCTATATTACCTCCAGCCATGCCTTAATGGGCTGGGATCCCACACAGCTCTCACTGAAGCTGTTGAGTATTTGTATCTTAATTCAAATACCAACGAAGGAAGAGGTAGGAGCAGAAAACTTCTTCCTTTGAATTAAACACGCTGTCTCTGCCCTTGCCTGCTTTTACTGGGCACTGTAGTAGATGAGGGGCCGTCTTCTTGAATGTATAATGAAATGGAAGTTTTGGCAACCTGAAGTCCTTAAGGATCCTAGGGCAGCTTCTGCAGGAGCAAGAATGTAAGCATCTGCATTCTCATCACATTTCAGAAAATTAAATGCTGCTGCCCTCAGTGCTGTTTCACTTGGAACAGTTCACTTAACATTCCAGTCCCTCGAATACTATATGATGTGGATGAAAATAACACACATTGGATTTCGTTCGAGCAGTTGCTGCACTTTAATAGCTGAATTTATATTAAGACTGCTTTGCATCTTTTGGATGTTGAGTAAGTTAAAATAATTTTCCTGTAAATGAGAATTAGTGCATTGTTTACTTAAAATAGTCTCGGTGAGTTATTACAGGATGCTCACACTACTCACACCACAGAATTACCAAAAGCCATGGTGGTGAGACTAAGCTAGCGAGTCCTGCTATTAAACTTTGCATGGAATTTGGGTCACATCCTGGAAGCTTTCCTTGTGGGCAGAAAAAAATTGCAATTATTTATGTAAATGTAAATTTACATATGTAAATTATTTATGTAAATTAATTAAAATTCTGTTTGGAAGTGTATATAGTCAAGTTACAGAGATGTGAACAGGTATACACATTAAGCAATGGAGAATCAGGAATACACTGGTTACTGTAACTATTTAGTGGCTGAGTAATTGCATCATAAGAACCAAATAATTTATGCATAAATATTTATTAATTTTATCTTAAGTTCACCAAATACCACAGGATTATTACATTTACATCTATTAATTGTAGTTACTAACTCTTTACAAACTTTAGTATATGTTGTCATTTACCATATCATCGTCTGGTTTGTGTAGCTGAAGAAATACAACCTGAAATACCTTCATTAATTCTGACATAAACTCCCATTTTAGTCTGCTACAGCTGAGTACAATACTCCCTACCCATAAGGGTTTACAAAAACTCAACCCAGGATCTGCCTAACAGCAAAAATAATATTTTATCACCGGAAAATCTGACCTTGAAATAAATCATGAAATAGGAAAAGTTATAAATAAAACATGAGCAAATTTACAGTATGCTTGCATAAGAGCGGACAGGAATAAAGAGAGATCTTCAGTGGCCAAAAAAATACCCCAAACTGTTATAAAAGGGGTCACTAGCTGAAAGTATTAATGTATTACCATCTATTTAAAGACATCTCAGGTTGCTTTTAAATTAGCTACCGAGACATGGATGTACAGAAGATATTGTTCACTGTGAAATGAGGCAGAACCCCTCCTTTGAAAATGAGGAGAGGTCCTGTGATGTTGAAACATACAGACATTTGACTACCTGGATATCAAAAGATAACATATCAAAGTTGAGAGCAGGCACATGTGTCAGCTCCTGGTGCTTCTGGAAAACTACATGAACACAGGTGAGATGGGGAGGTTCTTCCAGGGCCACATAGAGAGAAAAAGTTTGTACTGAGGAAGGGCAGAAAAATAAATCTGCACCATTCCAAGGCTTTGCTTTAAACTCCTCTTCCAAAAGCTTTGAGAGAACTATTACTTAAATTCAGAAAAGTTTAGCACCTGCAGACTTCTGGTGTCTCTGTTTTTTTTGCTGTAAAAATGTAAAATAAAACCTTGATGATCATATTACCCACAAAGAGGTGAAGTTGATGCTTGCCAAGTGGAGCTCCACTGAGCTCACTAGAGTTAGAGATGACATATTGCTGGTTCAAGATTTTCTTCTGAAAGTAGAAGCTCTATCTCACGATCGAGTGTTTTGTCCTACCACAATGAAGGTACTTACAGAGCAATGAGATTTTACTACTAGGTAATGGAAACCTATTTTAAGTCTTAGAATTGCTCTAACATTCAGTGACAATATGTCATTTTGTGTCACAGAGCATGGGATAAGTCTGTCATGTTTAGACATAGAGCACAAACTAATAAGCACTGAACTATTTCCACTTACAAAATTTGAAACCTAAACAAACATATTCTTTCACAAAAAGGAAGGAGATTGAGACTAAAATGAACAGCCTGGAAAGGCTGAGATGTTAATAGGAATAACAGCTTTTCCTGTGATTGATGATAGAGATAATGATTTATACATCCATACACTTAAATGGATGTCTTTGCCCATGACTGCTGTCTAATTAATGTGAGCCATCATCCACGTAAAATAAAATTTTTGCTTCTGGAAAAAAAAAGTCCTGCAAACTGCCAGCAATGACAGCACTAGAAACATGCCAATTACAGTGATTTCTGCCAAGCAGCAAAAGGGCACAGAATACCCGTTTCCAAGCAACTGACATTACAAAATATTAAATACAGAGGAGACTGCTATCAGCACATAGATATCCCACCTTTCCAGATAGTATTGCCTTTCTTACTCACTTCTTAACTTTACATGGCCTTGCTTACCCCTCTCAAACACTCCACTAAGTCTTCCAGTAAACTCTATGTATTAAGGAATGCCAGCTCATCAGCATCTTTGACCACTATGGAGGGTTTTGCCTGTGTTTATTAGAATAAGATTGTTACAGATGCACAGGTTAGCATTGGCAAGGTCATAACCAAACACCCAAACACAGCACACTCCCTGCTTTTTTAAGTAGGAGCCATTATTTTAAACAGAGAATGTAAGCATTTAGACACTAAAAGGTATCTAGAGGCAACTGCTGAGCCACCAGTGTAACAGTCGGTGGGACTGTAGCTGTGGGCATCAAGCTGCTTTAGCACAGCCTGGGCTTGCTGAGGGCCATCTAACTTCTAGAGATCTGCCTTCATGGAACCTAAACTAATTTAAACAAACACCCAGCTCCCAATTTAAAACATTAAAAGCTGCCAGTGGAGCCCTGTTTAAACTGCCAGCAGTTTGACATTTATTTTTATTCACACAGCATAGTGAAACAGATGCATAGGGGCCATTTTCTTCCAATTACAGGAAACGCAATATATCTGCCGAGGTGGAACATGCCCTCTTTGCCCATGAAGGCTGGTGTGGCTCATAAAATGGTACACATTCTTTCTCTCTGAGCTCAATGCTGTCAGCTCCCAGGCCTCACTGACTGAGGATGACAACAACCTGCCATTTTTTCAAGTACCTATGCTTAGAGGACTGTCACTTTGTCCTTTTTTTTTTTTTTTTTTTTTTTTTTTTATGCTGAGGCAATTAAGGTTACTCTACTTCCAGATCTTCCGAGCACTACAAGTTGTAACTCTAATTGGTGGAGTTGGATAACCTAGAAGGAACTGAAGAGCACTTCAATTTAATAAAAATAGACACAACCGTAATCAAACATGCTTTTTTTCTCTTTAGTTTTCCCTGTCAGAAGGGGACAACGGCAGCCTGGCAAATTACACATATCACCTCTGCTTCCTTTCTGATCTTGGTCAGTCAGCTTTGTTAGACTCTTCCAGAAAACATTTCTACTTTTCTAAAAGTGGCCGTATTCTATGAAAAATAACTATTCAGACTCAACTCATTCAATTTCCTCCAGAATATAAAATGAATCTTTCTCCCAAGTTGAAGGATAACATTATGTCCACACAGGATCAGAATCACCTTCCAAAGTATCTGTTTCCATCCAGTGACAGTAGTAGTCTATGGTGACTGCAGGCAACCTGGCCTGTTTGTGGAGCTTACCTCTCTTCTCACTTTTTTTTCCATATTAAAGAATTATATTTCTAACTAGATCTCTTTCTGGCCCTTGTATCAGTTTCTATCATTGCTACCTTCTCCCCTTACCTTCCCTATCTCCTTTTTACAACAATAAAATATTTTTAGTTAGTTTTATTTGGATCCATGTGCTTATTTTTAAGGACTACTTTTCATGGGGATATTTAACAACCACAGAAAATCCAGCACATTTGCACAGCACTTGGCAGCAGAATTTTATGTGTCTCATGTCTGCACTGTCTTACACTCTACAGAAGTGACTTATGGCAACCTGCTTTTACTACAGATTAAGTACAAGCCTTCAATTCTTTATTTTATTTTATTTTATTTTTTTTTTTTTTGCTTTGTAAGTGTTCCCACCTCTCTCTACAAGTTATGAATAGTTATAAAGACTTCTGCTTTCTTGGTTCTCACTCAATACAATCTCACCTAACCATGCATTACTTGACATTATTTCTGGATCACATTTACAGATGTCATTGGATCAAAGCAGTAAAAAAAAGATCTCCCTTGGAGCTGAATGTCATTTCAATGTGTCCAAGTCTGAGTTTGCACAGTCTTAGTAAAAGCTGCAGAGAAGATTTCTTACTAAAGAAATGGATATATTATTCTTAGCTCAAAATAAGAGAGATCGAGATGCTCACGGACAAAGGCATTGCCTTTTCTGACATATTGTACTCCACCCAACGAATCTGATTTTGTGATATACTTAGTTAAATTAGGCAGGGCTTTGTGCTTATACAGGCAATCTTTTATGATAGGGAGATGTATTCACTATAAAGAAACAGGAATGATCATTACCTACACACTTCCCAAACATTTTTCCTTTTTTTTTCTGCACAAAGACATGTAAATTCTTTCTTACATTTTAACGTGATGTTCTGAAAAATGATATCTGAGAGTTGACAGGTGTCCCCTTAACATGATTTGGTACAACTAATCAGGAGGAAAAGCACTGCTAATACTTTCTGCTTAAGATTAGCAACTGACACTTAAGAAAGATGAGCAACCTCTGTGCTCTATCATCAGCTGCTTCTGTATCATCATGAGGATTCAAGAAATTATAAGAGGATATTGATGCAAGGCAGGCAGTATGAGGTCATAATTAGGAAGTTTATCTTTAATTATGTTTTTAATGCATACATAGAATATTAAAGCTTTATGAATTCAGCTAATGCGGTTCCAGTAATGGCCCTTCAAACATTTCTAAGATAATTTTAAAATTCATACTAGTGTGATATATGTCTGTGATCTTTACTGCTAAAAACTTCCTCTTGGTTGTGTCATTACACACAATACAAACAAGCTGCAAGATCACAGACACTACTTTCTGTGAATCCATATCAATTAACATACAATTAAGACAACTGCTGGGTGTTCCGTTTCAGTCATGAGGAAGAAAGGCAGCAAAAAACAAATGCACAAAGATGATGTGTATTCACCAACTCCCTGTAATATATACTAGCTTGCTATCCTGAGAACCTGACTGTTTTAACTGAAATAAAAAGTTGCTGTCCTAATGCTTCACACTACAGTTTTCCTTTTTCTTAGGAGTGCATGAAGAGGCTTTGATTTGGGTCTGGACCAACCAAATTTCTTTTTTCAACAGACAACTTTGTGTAAATGTATCATTTAGTTTGTCGTAAATAAAAATACACATTTATTTGTGCTATTGCACAAGGTGAAATTTCTCCCCTCTTCATCTTCCTCCTACCTTTCAACAGTAATGCAAAAGTAGTGGACTGGAATATTTATATCCAAGCATTGAAAATAGCATGAGGTCATGAAGTTTTGAACACAACTGTGAATTAATTTTATGAACCGAGAAGATGCTGTAGGAAGAGATGCTGCAACAGGTAGGTATTTTCTTATTTGCCAGCACTTTGGACTCTGCAGGAGATACTAAAGCAGAGCTGGGTTCTTTCCATTTTCTGCATTAACCTTTAAAAGCATTCTGCAAGCCAAATCAGACCGGTGACAACAGCGGGACGTTACTGTCCTCCAAAGATGTGACACAGTTAGGACTGATCAGGTCTTAACTGGCAGTTCTGCTGCTAATGGACTGAAAGGAATACAATCTTATTTGTGGCTTTAGCTATATTGGCTTCCGGGGGTAATGAAGGATAGAAGGTGGGTTTTTAAATCACTCAGGGAAAAGATATGACACCAAGATCAAATCTATTCATATTATTAAAAATCTGTATTTAAGTCTATTTTGTAAATTATGTTACCATTACATAGTCAATGAAGGTAAATCTGCATTTATCTTAATGTAGTGCAGGAAATTGAGAAATGTCTCCATCTCCTAGGCTAAACACTTCATCTGTCATGGGAACAACTGCACTTATTCAGAGGGGTGGAATGCATGATCATAAAAAGCATTTCCTGGGTCCTCAGATTTGTCTGCTGATCTCAAGAACTGATAAATCAGAGAATTCGACACAGTTGAAATCCAGAAGATACACAAAGCATTTACAGACCAAGATACCTGAGCTCCAATTGTGAATATTCCAGGGATAATTAATCCTACATCTCAAATGTGACTTTCACAACTTTTCTATGCGGGTAATAATACTTACCCACCTCACACCTAGCTGTGTTCTGGAGAGGAGTAAGATAATGCTTGCCTGTACGTGACTATGGGGCTCTGGAAGATTTATGGAGCTTACCTCCTAAAAGCTTGAGAAAATAATAGTGATAGGATTAAAAATAAATTGAAGAAGAAGAATATAAATAAATATATATAAATAAAAATAAACAGAAGAAGAATTTCTAAGCTGTTAGCTTAGAAAAGTTGCTTATTTTGCCTGTAATCCAACTGCTGCTATTGCAGAACCAAAATCAAAAATTGCTCCTGTTTTCTCTTTAGCTGTGACTGGGGGGCTTCTGTGTGCTCCAAACTCCCTTACCTTGAATGGGCAAGAACTTTACTAAGAGTTTTCAGTTCCTTTCCTGTCTGTCTAAGTGGGGTGAGCATCTTCACTGATTCTGGTGGACGAGTCTGAAAAAGATCAAACTGAAAATTAGCCATATGATAATAAGAAGATTTTAGCATGAGACATGCAATAGCATGAGTTTGGTTTCAATCCCTAAACGTTTTCCAAAATGGTCCTTATCTGTGATGGCATTGTCACTTTTCATAAGCAGGTTAACAAAGTGTATGGCCCTGCATGCACACTCGCGTGCGTATGTTCCAATAGTTATTTCTCAGCACTGGCAACCTGAATCAAAACTCTATCAGTAATAGAACAATAGAGTCTCACCCTTAGATTCAAAAATAATTTCTTAGTTGTAACTTTATCCTCTTCTTCTGGTAGTCCTTCTTGAACATCTTTTTTCACTGGTTCCTAGAAAATAAATAAAAACATACTCCTAGTTACGTGTATAGGGACAGGCTATCATTTTCAAAATTAAAAGGTGCAAACGAATTTCCCTATAGATATGCAACCTAAAGCAAAAATAATGTCTAATCTTATGAAGAACCACGTAAAACGTCTCTGAGTAACTCTGGCATACAAATACACTCTCATATGAAGCATGCACAGACAAACAGGGCAAATATTGGGCAAATCGAATATATACTTTTTAAAATTACTTATATACTTTCAAAATTACTGAGCTTGAATAGTTAAAAAAAAAAACTTTTCTCTTGGAAGACTGCTGGATAGACTACTGTGTCTAACATAAAAAGAAAATCCAATTTCTACAACCAGGAATAGGAAATGACTTACTTGTAATTACTCTTCCTTGAAGGTATACCCTGTGATAGATCACTATTCTTGGCTCCGTGCTTTCCCTCACAAGGAAGGCACAGACTCATGAAAGCCCTGGAGCCAAATACAAGAACAATTTTAGACTCCCTCCAACCAGCAGTTTATTCAAGTGGAATATTATTCCCTTCTCTACAGAAAAAGAATACATAGGTAGATTAATAAGACTTCAGAACACAGCTGTACATGGTGCTGAGACCAAAATATAAAGATATGAGACTAAAATATGAAAATAGCGATTCCTTCCTGCACTACTTTTAAATCAGAGAGCTCATTTCTTCAGTCTAAGCAAAGCAAAGCTCAGCTGGTCCCCCTAGCTATGCATCTCCATACCACGGAGCTAGTGCAGAGCTGCTGGATCATAAAGGCCAGAAGACTCTGCACAACAAAGTACTTACTGCATAGTATAGCTTTAACACAGCAAAATAACACCCCGTGTGAAAAAAAAGTGTTATTCAAGTGCAAAATATTTTGCTTGTTGGAATCTTGATTAGACAGGCAATTCTCACCAAACTTATATTCCGATGTAATTATTCCAAAAGGATAAAGACCAAAAGTATGAGGAGCATTGTCCTCACCCACGGGAAAACTGCAGCCACAAATGTTCTCATTTAGTGACCAAGGCAACCCACAACAAATAGAAAATAAAAACATTAAATGCAAAAATTGTACTAAGGGCAAAGCAGCTGGAATAGAAAGAAGATATTCTACAGATAAGGTGTAAGGATGAACGAACGAGATGTCAAAGACAAGAGACCAAAGACTCTTGCAGTTCTAGTTCTTGCAGGTGGGTTGCTCTTGACCAAGGCTCAGCAGCAGAGACAGATGACACTGTTATAATGAATTAGGAGTTTCACAGAGCACCACGGTTCTGCAGAGAAGGAAGAGTGTGGGGATGTAGCCGCAGGTGTCAGTGGCTGGTCACTCAGAGCAGCAGTGCAGGCTCTGGGGCCACGCAGCCACCTGCATTGCCGGGGTGTTCAGTGCTGCAGAGCACTGTGAGAAACTGTTTCTCACCGCAACTTCTTTCAGAGACTTCTGGGTTTGCTGAAAGAAAAGAAATTGTCACCAACTTTTTGCAAAGTGAGACATTATCCTACTGCTGACCAGCCAGTTCTCCAAGTTGTGAGGAATGAAGAAAACAGCCTTTGTAGAGTTGCTCGGGCAGAGAGGTATCGCACATGTCACCTCTGCAATCTATGCACTCTTAATAGGATCCAGTCAGGCTTATCAGTGAAAACAGAAGGGAACAGCTTCTATTTACACAACACTGTCTTTTATTGCATTGTTGTGCACTCAAAAGCACACTCTCATCTCAAAAGGTATACATAAATAATTATGTAATTTTAACTTTTCAATTTGCACTGTAGAGATAAGGAAAATGAGAGAAAGCAAGAGAAAGTGGTAGGTGTGATCTTTATGCCTGTGGATTGCTGCTATGATCTGAACGGTCTCTGTGCATAAGTCAGGAGGGGCCTGTGGGCCTGGAGGCTTTTCACCACAGTTCACATGATTTGCTTTTAAAATATCAGAAGTTTGATTTCAGTGATCATTGCCTGCTTTTAGCACAGCTAAGTAACAGAACACCATTCAATTACATACATATAAAACAACAGTAATTAAAAACACATAAACAATCATAAAACAACATACGAAATTCGTCCCAGAGTGAGCTTACCTGAGGGAATGACCCAATATTTTTCCATGAAAATTCTTAAGGTCATTTTTTCTTCAGATGAGACGCAGTAGCTACAGGTAAAATGAACTACAGAAATGCTGCAGTAGGTGGAGCTCGATGCCATCGGATGGCCTGGGGTTCTGCTCCTGCAGAGCCGGAGGTGACCCAAGGTGACACAAAGCTCTAGGGTTCCTGCCTGCTGGCCCAGGCAGCTTGTTATGGATCTTCTTCATCTTTTAAAGAAAGGCCCTTGAAGTATCTTTGGATGAATGATTCCTCTGCGTAGCTTCCTTCAAACCACTAGCAAACCGCTAACAGCAGACACATGAGCTCTTATCCTAAAAAATCCCAAATACTTCCATCATCTCTTCCAAAAAAAAATCTGGAAATTAAGAACTGTTCAACTCAGATAATTTTATATTAGGAAATACAGGACAGGAAGAATCTCTCCATTTTATACAGCTGTCATCTTTGCTCATGTCATTTGGTAAGTTTGGAGAATTTCCAACTTTGCTCTCCAGATCCTATTGTGGAAACATGAGCTGCTGGTTTGTATTCCTAAGGCTGTACATTTTATAGGCAGAGAGTAGAGCTACAATAAGCCTGCCTTTAGGTGGTACATTAAAAAAAAGGGTTTATGATTGTGAAAGAAGCTGTTTCCTTGGCAATTCCTGACTTCTTTTTGTGTTGGATCTGGCATTTGGTTTCCACGATAATAACAAAGAGAGCGGATGGACAGGACTATTGCACTCTGCCTGCTGCCAGCACATCACTTCAGTAGGAGCATTATGATTACTGTTGCAGAGCATGAATGTGTTTTGACAAAAATTAAGCCACACAGTCTCATCACAAAACACCCATTCAGTCATCCAAATGCAAGATGAAATATACTTTTAATTATAGAAGTAAGTTTAGAAAGCTCTTGTGGAGCGCTATTTGTACAGATGACTGTTGCTGTTCTCCAGGTGAGACCCTTTAGTGTTGGTTTTATTGGCAGAACTCTCACTGAGTGTTCAAAATTTTAGTTTTTTTTTCCTTTTTCTCTCTCTTTTTTCTTTTCTAAATGCTACTACTTGATATTGAGCCATTTCTGCCCTTTTGCTAGAAAGTGAAAACACGGAACAGGCACAGCAGGACTCAAAGAGAATTTGCATTTAAACCCAGACTGCACAGCAAAAAAGAATATGCTTTACAAAATTAAGCTAGCGCTACGAGTAATACTATTTTAGTCCTTTAGCTTAAAATTCTGCCCATACAAATAGGCATTAGCATCAAGGGTAGGGACACCCGATTTGTTAAGGTTGTGCAGTGCTGTCTCAGTAATGCCAAGCACTTTGCAGTGGAGAATCCCTGTTGCCAAGGGGAGCTCTTGATGCTACCGAGCTGGAGCAGCAGCTTCCATTCCTTGGTTGTGCTGTGCAGGGGAAGGACATTCGCCCCGTTACGTTACCCTGCGGAGGGTGGATGAAAGAAGGAGCTTCAGGGCTGCTGGGTCTCGCTCTGCCCTCCGGTGAACACGGCCCTGTCAATACGGATGCAGCGGTGACATTGAAGGAGGCGGCAGAAACGCAAGAGAAAGGCTGTCTGCGAGGGAGGACAGGAGCATGAGGTTTGGAATAAGGAGATACAATTTCACCTCTGTCAGATTTCCTCTGGTACCCTAAATAAAACATTTAGCACCTTATCCCAGCTAGCAGCAGTCTTTTTATTGACCGCAGTAAATTTTGGCACGCTCCTCTCAGCTCATCATGCCTCCACTCCCCATCTGCAAAACGAGGAAAAATAATCTTTCTTGCTCATCAGCACTTACGAAGCATTCAGGTATTATCGTGACTGAAAGCACATGCACAGAAAGGCTTATTTTCATGGCTGAAACATGCTCAAATAGCTTGGTATTGTTTATTCCATCCATTTACCTTGGCTTATCATATTCCTTTGGGGAAACCCTCCTTTTATTTCCTTGCCTCCAAATAACATTGGCCTTACTCTGGCAAGATTTGTCCTGTAATTAATCACCGAATCAAATTAATCTTACTTGTAATGCCATTGTTGTCAGTGCAGTTACTCCACAGTTACTTTTAACCCCTTAACCAACTGCATTATTTGAACTGTCATCTTCACAGTCTCCATAAAGTCTCTCCATTATAACAGGATCTGAAAAATGCTTGTATTTGAAATGTGTCCTTCGCAGTCAGTGCAAACAAATAACGAAGGCCCCCAAAGCCCATCACTTCTATATGACATCTCTTTCTATGCCTCTTACACGTCTGGCTTTTGTCTGCTTCATTTACATGGTCTCTGGGCAACCTGCCAGTAATTTTCACGTTCTGCAGCCCTCCCAAAGTCTTTTATTCACGTTTTTGGTCATATACTGGCAATGAAAATATTCTCCAACCTTAGCCAAAATTTTCTAGATATTTTCCATTACCTAAGTTAAAATTACAAGAGTTCTCCCCTAATCTGCTTCTATTGTATCTAGAAAAAGGCATTTTAGATTGTTAACCATCCACTTTATTAGAAACAAATATAATTTATGTATAACTGAAAAAAAAAGCTTTTCTGCACTACAATCATGCCCCTATCCTCTTTGCATTTATATTAAAATAAGAAAACATTACAGAGGTGCTAAAAAGATATACTGATAAGTACAAAGGACATTCAAAAGGCAGAAAAAAATCCATAAACACTTAGAAAAAAAATAGTTGCTTGTTTTTGCTAGTCTCACCCAGGATTTCTCAGGATGCAATGCTATGCTAAAAACTTGAGAGTTCATGAACCAAGGCAGGAGTTCCTAATAAAATTAACAGATCGATATCTTCTACAGCACAGAGTCTCTATTCGATCTCAAACCGACAAACAAAAAAAGAACACGCCATTCTGTTTTATTTCACAGTGAGAA